TTGGTTTTTATATTTTTATTTTATTTTAATGTATTTACTTGTTTTGTAGAGACAAGGTCTTGCTAGATGGCCCAGGCCGAACTCCGACTCCTGGGATCTAGTCATCCTTCTGCTTCAGCCTCCCAAGTACCTAGGACTAGAGGCAAATCCAGTTGACTTAGTATTTTAATGAAGTGCAGACTTTCTGAATAAATCTGCAGATACAATGTATTGTCAATCAACACCCCAGTATTTTCCAAGTCAAATAGTTTTCTTTTTTTTTTAATAACCATTTATGAATGAATCCTTTCTTTCTTCATTGATTTCAAAGGTTCTTCAACATAATTTAGATTCTAATTAGAGGTGAGGCCTGTGGATAAGATCTGTTTATTGGATGTGTATTATTCCTTTGTTCTAAATGTTCTACTCTTGTGCTAATTGCACATTGTTTTAAAAACAATTTATTAGCCAATAGAGCTATTGCCCTCTTTATCACTTTCCTTTTTGAAGTTTTTTTTCCTACTCCTACTTGTTTATACTCTTTGAATCATTGAATATACCCTCTTAGAATCATTTTATTAAATTTTAAAAGGATATGATAAATTGAAGTGGACTAAAACCCAATATATTAATTGAAAAGACTGAATGTCTTCAAGAACATCATGTACTCCTAATTCAAGTCTTCTCGAAAATTTATAAATAAATACCATGTACGTTTCTTCTTAAAATTATCTGAAGATCTTATTTTGGGTGTCTGCCTGTGTTGTGGCCTGATTCCACTCAGCTTTGATTCTTTCAATCCTAATGAAATGAAAATCTGGGAACACCAAACACAGAGACGGGTCACACAGTTTCACATGCATTTTATTTCCTCTTAAATGTAGTCCCCAGATGACATTCATGAGCTACAAGTAGGCAGGGGATGAGGCTCAGTGGTTGAGAGCTTGCCCAGCATGTGTGAGGACCTGGGTTCTACCCCCTAGCACTGCAACAAAACCAAATCAAACCAAACCAACCAACACACAACAAAAATAGAAAGGAAGGGAGGGAGGGAGTGAAAGAAAAGCTATAAGCATGGTTCTCAGCTCTCTGCAAGTAAAAACATGAAAGTGTTCCAAAAAACCCATTTCTATATTAATTTTACCTGCTGCCAAGAATAGGATTTTCTAGCTAAATTTTTTTTTTTTAACTGTTTGTTCCAACAATTGGAAGACGTTCTCTGGTTGTATTGAAAGAATAACTTTCAGGATTTGAATTGATTTTGACACATTAATACTAACTAAAGCCCAGATTTAATTTGAATTTCCTTAATTCTTGTTAAAATCCTTTTTCTGTTTTAAGATTTCTTCTAAGATACCATCCTACATTTTATTATTTTATTTCTTTAGACTCCCTTTTGCTGCGACAGTTTTTCAAATGTCCTTGTTTTTGATACCTTGACCAATTGAGAAATGCTGGTCACTTAAATTTTTTTTTTTTTAGATGGACACAATACCTTTATTTTATTTATTTATTTTTATGTGGTGCTRAGGATTGAACCCAGGGCCTCACATGTGCTAGGTGAGCACTCTACCACTGAGCCACAACCCCAGTCCTGAATACTGTTCATTTTGTAGGCTGTTTCTCAGTTGGGATTTGTCTGATATTTTTCTGTTGATTAGATTGGAATTATGAATTTTGGGGAAGAAGACCATACAAGCCAAGTATTATTTTCTATATATCCTACCAAGAATACTGTACTTGGTTGATTATTGTCCCCTTCCCTCAATTTATCTCTATCTAGAAACTCAGAATGTGACTTTATTGGAAGTGGGTCTTTTCAGATGTAATCAAGTTAAGATGAGGTCATATGGATTAGGGTGGGCTCTTGATTCAATGACTAATGTCCTGCTGTGACAAGAAAACAGATGCAGAGACAAATACAGAAAAGACAGCACATCATGCCAGAGGCAGCAATTGGAATTATGCTGCTGCAAAATAAGGAATTGCAAGAGTTGCAGGCAAGCACCAGAGAAACAGGGAACAAACTCTCTCTCTCTCTCTCCCTGAGCCTCCAAGAAGGAGCCCAGTCTGCCAACTCCTTGATCTCAGATTTCTGGTCTCCAGAAGTGTGGGAGAATAAAATTCTGTTGATTCAAGCACYGTCTGTGGTGATTTGTTGCAGCAGCCCTAGGAAACTAAGCCKGGGACATGGTATTGATATGATGCATAACTGTTGGTATTAACTTTGATCATCTGGCTGAAGTTATGTCTGTCAGTTTTCTCTGTTGTGAAGTTGCTATTTACTCCCTTTCCCTACCAAACTCTTTGGAAGGAAGTCACTGTGTACAGCCCACATTTAAGGAGTAAGGGCCAGGAATTTTTGTTGTAAAAGAGATTCCCTTTAAAAATGTTTTAATATAAGTGTTATTGCCAACAAATAAAAGGCTGATAATATTTGCTTTTATAATATTTGTTGAAGAACTTGTAAGTAGTTTTATTAAGCACCTTTGTTAATGTTGTTGGTGTTATTATTTATTTATTTTGCCAGTGCTAGGGATTGATCCAAGAGTCTTGGCCTGCTAAGCAAATGCCACTGAACTACACCCCCAATCTCTTTTATTAATTTTATTAGCTTTTTCCCCCTATTGGGTGTCTTTGGATTGTCTGTAAGTAAGGCTTTCACTTCTTCTTTTGCTATWTTTATACATTACATTTCTGTTTCATGACTTATTACATTGGTCAGGATTTCCCAGAGATGATTTGTGTTGGTCAGCTTTCATCACTGTGATGAAATACTCGGAAAAACCAGTTTACAAAAGGGAAAGACTTATTTTRGCTTATGATTTCATCCCATGAGTGGATGGCTTCATTGCTTTGGGCCTGGGRTGAGGTAGAACATCACATCATGGTGGAAGGGCATGGCTGAGCAAAGCTATTCACCCTTTGCTGGCTAGGAAGGAGAAGGAGGGTGGGGAGAGAGGTCCAGGAACAAATTATTGTCTCCAAGGGCATGCCCCCCAGGATGCATTCCTTTCAATTAGGTCCCACCTCCTACAGTTTGTGTTACCCCCCAATATGTCCATTCAGCTATGAATGCCTCAATAGATTAATCCATTGATGAGGTTAGATTCCTAACAATCCAATCACTTCCCACAAGTTCCTCCACTGCATGAGGGATCAAGCCCTCAATACATGAGTCTTTGGGGGAGGAGATATTCCAGATCCAAAATCTGATGCTATTGAACAATAGCAGTGGTTGCTTTGTGCAGAGGGCAGCAGGCAACAGCAGAGGCTTGTGCAGCCAYGGGCAAGATGAAGGCTCAGGATCTTCTCAGCAAGGAGGAAGAGGAGCTGTTGAAACAGCTGGATGACTTGAAGGCAGAATTGTCCCAGCTGCACATCCCCAAAGTGACAGGCAGCATTGAGTCCGAGCTCTCCAAGATGAGAGCAGTCCACAAACACATTGCTTATATTCTCTCCATCATTAACCAGACTCAGAAAGAAAACCTCAGSRAATTCTACAAGGGCAAGAAATTTAAACCCCAGGATCTAGACCAAAAAGTTGTGTGTCCTGTGCCTCAGAGTCATGAAGCAGGAGGACCTGAAACTGAGAAGCAGCTGTGGAGGTACCTGGTCAAGGTCTGAGCACCATAGCAGGAATAAAATATAAAACCAGAAGAGCAAACAAAAATACAATAGCAGTGACCAAAGATCTAGTCTATATCCTAACATTTTTATCTGTGAGGTCTCATAGCTTTGGGGAAACTTCTCTACTCCATGCAATTCTGGTGGGACGCTTAACTAGTTGTGAATAGCATCCAACCCTTTGGTACAGAGTTCAGTACATGTTTCAGTTGCTGCCAAACATTAGATCCTATTTTCCTGGCCAGAGCTATTGTTCCAGAAGTGGGTAAGAAACCTAAGCAGGGTTGATTTAAGTTTTCTCCAAGTTTTGTATTTGTTACTTTGGAGCTAGAAGAAAAGCAGGAAGGGTCTTACTTTCTGGCCCACAGGGTGGGTAAGATAGGAATGTGGGCACTAGAAGCCACCATCACCTGCAGAGAAGGGAAAGGTTCAGGAAGAAAGAAACTAAAGAGTGAATCACAGTTGGTGTGGARAGCAAGGGAGAGGAAGAGAGGTGGCTAAAGGGAAAATACTACTGACCTTGTTTTTAAATCCCTGAATCCGAACTTTCTGGTTCCCTGAGCCAACATATTTCTCTTTTCCTAGTTTCACTGCTTAAGATGGATCACTTAGAACAGAAGGAATTTTGCCTGTTAACAGAAATCATCCTGGACTTGGTAGCTCAGGTTTGTTAGGCAGGGACTGAGTGCCAGGCTGGGGTCACGTGGTACTGGATCAGGCCCTCCACCCACACGATCCCAATCATTTCTCATAACTGGCAGGCATATATCATTTTGAGGAAACTGAGGTTCTGCGAGGCGAGTTGCCTATGTTTTCTAAGGCAGCAGCCTCTCCTACTCCTACCTCTGGCAGATGGATAAGCATCTAAGACCAACGAACTCAAACTGGAAAATGTCAACTTGCAGCTTTATCCTGATAGTTTCTAAGTTCCTTAAGAGAACTACTGGTGGTAGAAGAGGAGTATGTAGAATCCAAATGGGAAACGATATGCGCTGASAGCAAGCTGCACAGCAACCACCCAAAGCGCCCAACCCGGACAACTGGCTGTCCGCCAGCTCGGTCTTCCACTCTACAAACTTCAGACTCTGAAACCCCCAGGAGAGACGCAGGGCCACAGCGCGTCCCAATGTCCGAGCCTCGGAGGATCAGYCCTCCCATCCCCGGAGCGCTTTCCGTTAGTTTGAGAGCTTTCCAAACTCGGATCTCCAAAAAGTGCCGGAGTTCACAGCCTTCCTAGGACTGGGGGCCTACGACCCCGGAGTTGGGGTGCAAGGAGCCTGTCCAAGGTCGCGGCTGGCTGGCCGCGCACTCAGTAAGGCGCTGGGAGGGCTGGGGGCGGTGGTCAGGGGCGGGGACTGGAGTTGGGGCGGGCCCAGTGCGGTCCTGCGGCTAGTGTCCGCGCTCCCCGGCAGCACCGCGCCGGGCACATGGAGGCTCCCCTGGAACCCGCGCCCGGGCGGGTAGGCCCGGAGAACACCTCGGATCGCCGCGGGCTGCGCCGCCTGCTGTTTTCCGACTTCCGAGAGGAGCTGCGGGAGCTCCTGATCCTGGCGGGCCCCGCGGTGAGTCAGGTGGCCCCAGTTGCAGGCTAGTCCAGGCAGGTTGGGGGCCCCGTGACCCGTGTTGACTCCTGAGACTTGGGAGAGGTGGGGACCGAGGGAACTTGCCGCAGGAGGGGGAACGGGTGGGCRCTACCTTCCCAGGGTGCGGAGATCCCGGAGGGCGCCTGTGCACCTCCGCGTCTCMGAGTGTGTCCTGGTTGCCAACTGCTCTGCACCCTCCCACTGGGCACAGCTGGCTCCTGGGCAAGCAGGAGGCACCGCAAGGCCGGCGGCTCCCGCCTCCTGCGTTAGTACCTCCTGGGAAGCGGGAATCTGTGCCCCTAAAGAAACTGTCTCCCCACCCCCACCCCACCACCACCCCACCACCACCACTGGATGCCTTCAGTGAGCGCGGATTTTCAGAGAACTAAGCAAAAGTTACTAGAACTTCAAAATACCCAAAACTTGGCTTCTTTGCAACTAGCGGCTAAGTCCGGTAGTTCCGGTATCCAGATAATTATCCTGAGGCATGGAAGAGGAAGGCGAATTGTCCCTGTCGCATTTAGGCTTCTGAAAGTGTTTGGAATTCGGAATCAACCTCTGCAAAGGCATCCTGCACCAGCTTCCCTTCCCCACAAGTAATTGTGTTAAAAAAAAAAAAAAAAGTTTTTAACGTGGTTCTGTTTGGAGTTGAAGTTCTTATCTGTGGGGTTTTTTTTTGTTTTGTTTTGTTTTGGTTTTGGTTTGTTCGTTTGTTTTGTTTTGCTTTTTGCTTAGGCCTCTTTCTGCCTTGCCTTTTAAAGGTAATGTGTGTGCGCGCGTTTGCGTTTTAAATCGTAAAAACCACAAAACATGTGATCCTGTTCATGTTCTGCCAGTTCCAGTTGTGGGGTAGGATAGCCACTTCAACTAGACCAGAAGCTGTCAGTGAATGTTTAAAGAGAATACACTTTTGGTTAAGGCATAGACATTCTGCACCTGCTCTGGCTGAGATGGAAAGGTGTGGCCTCCAGCAATGGTACTTGCCGTGGTTTGTGGGATATAGTGACAGCATTGTGGAGTGCAGGCAGTAAGAATCATGAGGAGGATAAAGCTATGAAATGAAAATCCACCCAGTGTGTAGGAGGCTGTGATGCTCCTGGTAGATAGGAAAGAACTCCTACTTTGGAATCTCCAGACCTGGGCTTTACTTCCCTGTGTTGAGGAAATTGATGGTCCAGGTTACCTGCCCCTGGAAGGCCAATATTAGAGAGCTGAGAGTTGATAGAATGGATTCAGGCTTACTCAAGGGCTGGCATTCTTGAGAAAATAGAGAAGCTATCCCCTCAAAGATCCATCTAGGAGTTCTCAGGAGGCACAAAGGGCTTTTATGGGGAGGAGAAAGGAGAAGCAGGGCAGAAAAGCTAGGTGCTGAGCTGGGTCCTCTTCGTCTGTGTGCTCTTTTTTCTTTTCTGGAACATTGCAGTAGATTTCCAATCCTGGGGTCAGTGAGCTGCTGCCGTTCTTTTCCTTTTGAATTTACATGCTCCCTGTTAGTTGATACATAGATCCAAACAGAAGGAGCGCTACAAAGGTCATCAGATGTTCAGCGTTCTAGAATTCTAAAGAAATATTTAGAGGACATGGTGGTGCAGGCCTGTAATCTGAGAGCCTGAGGCAGGAGGATCGCAAGTTTGAGGCTAACCTGGGCAATTTAGCATGACTCTGTCTCAAAATAAAAAAAAATACAGGGATACAAGGATGTAGCCTAGTGGAAGAGAGCCTTTGGCTTCAATCCCCGGTACTGCAAGGGGGCAGTGGGTGGGGATTTAGCAGTTAACATTGGTTAACATTGTAACCTCTAGGTGGACTTTCTTTTCTCTGAAAGGATTATGGAGGGATGGAAGGGCAAAGGGAGGAGGAAATCAGGGCAACTTCAAAAGAGGATCCCTGTTACACCTGCTTCCATCTCTTCCAAAGTATGTTAGGAAATGGATTTGTGAATTTGAGCATTTCTAGTTTCCACTTATCCATCCATAAAGTGAGGATGAGCCCAGCTGGTTGGATTGGGCCACCCACCTGTGTAAAAAATAGGCGCAAGATGGAAAAAAAGAAAAGTGAACTTTTTGCAGTTTGATCAAATCAGGGGGGAAGCAGCTAGATTCCTTCTCCCTTCAGGTCCCACCAAAGCCCTAAAAATTTATAGAAACCAAAGCCAGGTAGTATACATATGTAGAATTAGTTGGCCTCAACAGGGGGCAGAATGGGAGGAAAGGAAGGAAATACACATATGCAGATTTAGTTAGCCTTTGCTAGACAGGTCAGGGCAGGGGGCAGTCTCCATCCTCAGCTTCTTTGGCCACCCTGGTTAGGCCATGGGGTGGCAGACCCATGGCTTCCATTCTCGTCATGAGGAAGTTGAACTCCATTCCAGAGGGCATCCCCCAAATTCAGTCTGTTTCAATGCCTTGGGTGTAGGAGACCTCCTTGGATCTCCAGGGATGAGCATTAGACTGATCTGAAGGGGGCTCCCCTTTCTGTCTGTGTGCATAGACACCTGTACATGTGCCTGATTGTGTTTATTATAATTACAATACATACTCATTGCAGGGGGGGGGAACCCAAGACCAACAGAAGAAAAATACTCTAAGATCACACTGTCAAGAGATAATTTGGGATTTTCCCTTCCACTCTTTTATTTACATGCCCATGAATACTTTGCAAAAATGAGATTGGAGACTTCTGGTACCAGTATATGGATCCCGTCTTGAAGCCTCTCCATCTCTATTCCCATCTGTTGTTAAGTTTCCTATTTTCTAAGGAGCAAGGGATAGGAGATCAAAACCTTTTCCCCCTGTGGTCAATGTCCAATACTGTCTTCTCCAAGACTCTACCATAAAATAGGTAGAATGGCCAGTGTGGCGCCTCTCTCTCTCTCTCTCTCTCTCTCTCTCTCTCTCTCTCTCTCTGTTTCCTCTTTCTTATTCACCATCTCCCTTCCAGACCTCTCATGTTTCCTGACACTTGGGAGCATTAGGATTCACCATGATACTCTCCTATTGATCTGAAGAGAGAATAATCCAGAAGGCCAAGGAGAGAGTGGGAGATGAACAGGTTCACCTCTCAAAAGACGCTCTTCATTTTATCCTGCTGAAAACTTTAGGAATGCAGGTATTTGCCCAGGGATGGAAAGTGGTAGTCTGCAAATACCTAGCCTCAGGCCGTTCAACTGTGCTCTCCTTTTGTGATTAGCATCTTCCAACCAAGATATTTGTTAGAGTCCTCAAAAAATAACCCCAAAGATGGATTTCCCTGTGGGCATGGACTGTGATGTAAGAGAAGTAGGATGCCTAGGTCCAAGCTTCTGGGAAAGAGCTCTGGAAACTTTTAGGGCTTCAGGGCATAAGATACAGGGATAGTTCGGGCAGAGGGGTGACATCAGATGAAACTGGAGTCAAGACAAAAAAAAAAAAAAAACAAATGCAGGCTGACAATGTGAATTGTCATGGGGGTATAGGGAAATACTTGACAGGGAGTGATTAGTGACATATGTCAGATTCAGCGGGAAAGGTTGCAAGGGACAGGAGACAATCCAGGCCAAAGGAGAGGAAAACCAGGAAGGGGAAGATGGTTCCTCTTCCAGACAGGTCAAAGGATGAGTGAAAGGATGTGGGGAAGTATTGAGTGTTGGTGGGAGCTAAAAGACAGAACCCCAGAGGGGCCTAGGACCTTCCCTCTCTCCTTTCCAGTTCCCCTTCCAACCCATCCTCCTGAAGGCTTCTGGTTTTAGCATTCTGAATGTCTCTCAGAGAGATCTACTTCACATTCCCACTCTCTCAGTGGACCACTATATCTCCAAGCAGAGTTTCTAGCTCATGGTGCCCCAAATATTCCACATGGAGCTCTGAAAACCCTTTCAAATGCATATCTCARCTCTGAGCCCCAGCTCAAACCCCTGAACTTGATCCTGTAAGTCCCTCTGAGCTCTGATCTCTATTGAACCCTCCTGCCTTAGCTTGTTTCATTGTCTTCCATCGCCCTTCTCCTAGGAAGCCTCAGCACCCCCTCCCACTACCTACACTCCGTCCCTCAGCCTAGAAAATTCATCATTCAAATGTTAACTCATTGCCTCCAGGGACCTTTCCTGACTACTTGCTGTGTCCCTACAGCTCACCATGCAAATCCCATTTAGCTGAGTTCCTGAATCTGCAACATCTTTTCCTTTTCTACCATGGGTTCCGTTGGGTAGGAATGAAGCCATGGGTGTTTGGTTAATGCACACCCAGGCACTTTGAGTTCCAGAGACGCTGTCCTGAAAAGACATTCTGCGTTCCATCAGGTGACTTTGGACTGAAGCTTCCTCATGTATAAGGAGGCTGTCTGGGGTGACTTGGCAGATTCTTTTCTGTGCTGACCTTTTGCTGCTAAGAGTGGACTTTCAGGCCCACTGGGAAGGGGTAAGAGAAGTCCTCCTGGAGGACTTGTACAGTTCACTGAGCAGTTCACTGAGTTTGAACCCAGGGCCTGGAACAAGCTAAGCACGAGGTCTGCAACTGAGCTACACACATTCAGCCCCTGCTCTTCACAATTTCTATTGTCCATTTGGCTCCATCTGAGCCACTGCCAGTTCAGTTCACTGTTTTTCAGGCAGCATTGAGATATCTTAGGGCAACAAAACTTTGTCCAGGATGGGTGAATTCCCTGGCATAGCAACATGCTTTTTTTTTCCCCCCAAGGGTCTAGAACATTCTCAAAGTGTTATCCTTGAGCACCTGTGTATAGGCTATATATGGGGGTAGGTGGAGGATATGTTAAAATGCAGATTCGTCAGCCCCCCTTATCTCCTAAATCAGTTTGTCAAAATCAGCCAGAACACAAGCATTTTTAACACCTTGCTCCCTGGGTGACCTTTGTGTCCATAAACCACATTCTGTGACTAGGAGTCACCCAAAGGGCTTGAAACCAGAATCTGAGGAATAGTTAGTAAATCTAAGTTCCAGAACTCTGAACCTCCTGGGACTGAGGCTCAGGATGGGCTGGCTGGGTTTGGCTGCCTGGCCTGGGTAACGAGAACAGGGTTGTTACCATAACCCCAGCAAAATTGCAGCGGCCTTCACAAAGGAACAGTTTTAGCTGGCATTGACATTGAAGGTGTGTCTCACTGGATCAGCTGAACTGTGCTCAACTTTCTTTGACTTTTTTTATAAGAGACATCTGAACTATTCCTACCCTTGGACTGGGCGCTCACCCTAAGAAAATGCCTCATCCCCACCCAGCTGAAAAGATGTTCGGAACAGTATGGTTTATAATAGCAAAATCTCKGCTGCACTCCAGAGGCCTGTTGATAGGCAAGAATGAGCCTTTTTCACATGAAGACATGAAAAATAGCTTATGGGTCACCTGTAAGGAGGCAGGGAACGGTGCGGTGGAAACATGAAGTTCTATGGGAAAGGAGAAAACAGAAAACGTTCCGTGAACATGACAGTTTGCTATGGTTTCTGGGCACCCAACACCTCACGAACAGCCATCTGAAAAGATTGGGAAATGATGCTGGGTGACCTAAGACCTTTGAAGTTATCTGAATTCACAATTTAAAGAGCCACCAGCCACCACTGAATGAAACCACAGAGAACATCTGTAAGGGAAATGACAACACCTAAATCATGTCACTATGTCCTGGCACGAGGCTATGGAAATCCATTGGCTCAAGCTTTAGATTCTACAGAATCAGATTAATCACGTCTTTTCCTTTCTTTGTTTTGTGGTGCTGGGGATTGAATTTAGGACTTGTGCTAGGTAAGCCCCCTATTTCTGAGCCACATCCTTGGTCCCCACCTCTTTTATTTATATCACCACTCCTCCATTTCCATTTCTCTCCTGTCTTATTTTGTCTTTCTTGTGCAATACCAAAGTCTTCCTTCTGCCCAGTAGAAAGAGGCCCTGTTGGAAATTAAAATCACATTTGATTTCTGTGGTAGTGAGAGAGGGTCTGGGTTTGGGAGCTGATGCAAGAAAGATATGTTCCTAAGACTTGGGTGTGCGCATGTGCACGCGTGCACGTACACACACACACACACACACAGTTAGAAGAAGGCCATTCATATTTTGAAGGTCTGGTCAATCACTGGAGTTGGACATGGTCTCTCTAGATGTGGTTTCTAGGGATGAAAGGAAAGAGAGTAGTCACCTTGTTACAGCTCTGGACCTGATCAGGTACTAATGCAGCAATTTTGGGATGGCTAAAGGGCTGGCACAGTTTGTGTGGAGACCAGAAATAAAAGCTGTGTCACTGGAAGCCCTTGAAAGGCTATAAGAGGTAGCACTGGAGCAGAACCAACAGTGTCACCATCCCTGGCGACCAGTTTTTGGAAGGGCTTCTGTGAGGCAGGCAAGCAAATCCTGAGATGCCTGTTCTCTTCTCCTAGGGAGGGGGTTCAAATGAACCTCCCTCTTGGAGAGACATAAGACATGAATAATCTGATACTGGACGGCTTGGGTCTAAGCATGAACTGGTTATAAATTCACCTCAAGATATAAGTGACCAAGCATTGTGCAATTCTTAGTAGTCACTGGAATTTTGAGGAAGAATAAGCTTAATAGTCCAGAAACTGAATTTGCTTTCATATCTGAGCCTTGTAGAATTGCAGAATTATAGGTAGCTGGGCACAGTGGCATGTGCCTATGATCCCAGAGACTCAGGAGGCTGAGGCAGGAGAATTGCAAGTTCAAGGCCAGCCTCAGCAACTTAGAGGGGCTCTAAGCAACTTGGTGAGACCCCTGTCTCAAAATAAAAATGAAAAATACAGGTAAAGTGCTTGTGGGTTCAATCCACAGTACAGAGAGAGAGAGAGAGAGAGAGAGAGAGAGAGAGAGAGAGAGAGAGAAAGGGAGAGAGAGGCATAGACATAGACATAGAGAGACAGAGACAGAGACACTCAGGTGCAACCAGTAGCATTTCACCTGGGGATCCCAGATTATACTGGCCTTTCAGTGAATGATCTCACTCCTACCTTCAGCCCTGCTGATTGTGGAATGTCATGCTGACTGGAGTGAGTTCTTGCCATTGAAAGCTATATTCTCTTCAGGAGAATTCTCATTTAGGAATCTGGAATAACAAGGAACAAAGAGGTTATCCAAGAAAGCAACCTCTGAAAACTTCTGAAGAAATTTAATGTGATCTATGCATGAGCAACTGACGTGAAAAATAACACCAAAAAGACGAGGATGTTCTTAAAAATGTGATTCTGGGGGAATGGAAAGAGGATGACCTGTTGGTACAGGGGTGCTGTTGGATAGGAGGTAAACTTCTCACGTTTTATAGCACAGTAGGGTAACTACAGTTGACAACAATTAATTGCATATTTCAAAATGACTAGTGTAGAGAATTTTGAATGTTCCCAACATAAAGGAATGATAAGGGTTGAAGGTAATGGGTGCACCACTTGCCCTGATCTAATCATTACATGGCAATGTAATACTATATTAAATATCACACTGTACCCCATAAGTATGTATCATTATTATGTGTCAATGAAAAACATTTTTTTTTCTGGTACTTGGAATTGAACCCAGGGGCCTGCATGAGAATCATCTCAAGGGTTTGTCAAAACACAGGGTGCTGGGCCCTATCTAGGGGTGTGGGTAAATATTGCACCCCTGAGCTACATCCCCAGCCCTTTTTTTATTTCTTGTTTTGTGAAAGGATCTTGCTGAGTTGGCCTCATACTTGGAATCCTCCTGCCTCCGCCTTCCGAGTCTCTAGTATTACAGGCATGTACTAGCRAGTTCGGCTTCAATTAAAATTTTTTAAAAATTAAAAAAAAAAATTTAATGGGTTTTTGACCCAGTGATTGCAGATCAACATTTGGCTATTTCAAAAAGGCCCTCAGAAATCGTCCATTGGACTATGGAAGCTGGCAGTGGTTCTCTAAAAGTTGGGTGCCTTTACCTCCCACTGGAGCTGGTTGGGGGAAGGSACCGAGCCACCTTGGACTGTGATGGCTGGCATTCATCTCTCCTCCTCTTCCCCTCTGTTCCCAGTTCTTGGCCCAGCTGATGATGTTCCTGATCAGTTTCATAAGCTCTGTGTTCTGCGGCCATCTGGGCAAGCTGGAACTGGATGCAGTCACACTTGCAATTGCAGTACGTACAAGACTTCCTAGCAGAGGTTTATGAAAACYCTCAGGGTTCCTTTTCTCCTGCTGCGATGACACAGGACCACTTTCGGAGCATCCTGTCAGTCCCGAAGCTGCAGATTTTAGAGTATTGCACATTGTGGATTTCTGGATGATGGGGGCTCAACCAACCGTTTTGAGCAAGGGACTGATCCAAAATGGCTAGTGCCCCATTCCGTTCCCAGAAGAAGGGTTCGTGACTCCCTGAAGTTAGAGAGCAAAATATCTTAAGACTTAAAATACAAAAACACTGCACAACGACCTCTGACCTCGCTCAATTTTTCATCCCTCTCTGATCTCGTGTGTCTGTCCTTTAATCTGGCCCAAGAGATTGGAGCAGGGGTTCCGGGGAGTTAACAAGGTGATTAGATTGGCTTGTTAATGCTGAAGGAGGCGCTTGGCTGGCTTGGATCAGCAAGATAGAAAATTTACCTTTCTTTCCTCTTTAACAACGTTGGGTCTTCTCCTTGGTTTATTTCCAGGTTATCAATGTCACTGGCATTTCAGTGGGACATGGCTTATCTTCTGCATGTGACACCCTCATCTCCCAGGTATGGAAGTGGTCACATTTTCTCAGTGTCCCCAACATCTTAAGTATAGATGGCAGAACCCCATCAGCAAGAAGGAGAGTCATGTGTGCCCACGGATGAGAAAATCCACAACAGTAGACACCTGTGGCATTCTCACGCAATTGACTCCAGTTCTCCTTGCCTGCTCTATTTGAAATGTGGCTGGGTTCCTTTCAGCATGGTGAACTAGTGTTCACTGTATGACTGCCTGATTTGTTTTGACCAAACAGTGAATATTTTGCAAAAGTCTCTTCTATCATGTACACGTTTGAGTTAGTGGTCCTGTAGTTTTTCAAACTTGGGCCTGCATCACCTCAAGGGTTTGTCAAGACACAGGTTGCTGGGCCCTATCTAGGGTGTAGGTTAATATTCACATTCTCTTTGGGAAAGAGGGAGGAGGTGGAGGGGAACATTCTGACTCATATATAGATATCTTAATTTGATTGTGCTATTATGTCCCAATAAACCCATCAGGTTGGAAACATTTGAAGTTGAAAATGCATTTAGCACACTAACCTACCAAATATCCTAGCTTAGCCACACAACACACTGTGTTCAGTTGTTTCCCCTCATGATTGTGGGGCTGACCGGGAGCTGTGGCTATCGGCCACTGCCCAGCACCAAGAGTGAGGATCAAACCTCATATCAGAAACCTGGGGAAGGATCCAAAAGCAAAATTCAAAGCGTGGTCTCCACGGACTGACCCCAGATCCCCTTCGTACCATCTTAAAGTTGAAAAATTAGATGGATCCATTCCTAAATTGAGGAACCMTGTGTATTTGTGTAAACATTCCCTCTGGCTAATCTGAAGCTGCCACGGAGATGGCACTGAACGTGAAACTGGAAGAGACTCGCACAGCTTGGCTTCTGTAAGTCAGTAGGAACTGGCTCCTCACACCACTGGCCCTGACCCCAGAGTTTCCACTCTAGTAGGTCTGGAATGGAGCCCGAGAATTTGCATTTTTAACAAGTTTCCAGGTTATGCAACTCTTGACTGCACGTTAGAATCACCCGGAGAGCTTCTAAACATTATTATTACTTGGTATCCTACCTTGGATCAGTTAAATCTAGAGGAACTTTAGTGGGATCCTGTCATCGGTTTAAAAATATCCGCCCCCCCCATGGTTCTCGTGGGCAGTGACATTCTAAAATCACCCATTTTTCTCACCATGGTCACCTTCTCCCTAAAGAATATGACAGAGTCTCTCCTGGCATGTTTGTCTATGAGGTATGATGGGGGAGGCTTTGGGGGGACAGAGACGATGTGCCATTTCTGTGCTAATGGGTTTGTTTTGGACGTGCACACCCCAGACATACGGGAGCCAGAACTTGAAGCATGTGGGGGTCATCCTACAGAGGGGCATGCTCATTCTGCTCCTCTGCTGCTTTCCCTGCTGGGCGCTTTTCCTCAACACTGAGCACATCTTGCTGCTYTTCAGGCAGGACCCGGATGTGTCCAGGTAAGATGAGATGTGTCGTGGTGGCCTGGGCATCCTCCCCTGCAGAAGGACCATCTATCCAGRCAGGCTCACCCTCTGGGAATTATAAAGGGCAGGGACGAGGCTGCATACCAAGATGAGCATCCAGCCCTCCTTGGCTGACCCCTCTCACCCTAGTTCCTTCCACACCTGGCTTCTAAGACCCGGACCCCCTTCTCTCCTGGCGACTTCCAGGGTAAAGAGTTTTGATGGGAATTCGCTTTACAAACATCCTCCGTGAGGCATGGTAGTCCATGATCTGTGACTTGTGACCGAGGGTGGTATTAAAATCACCTGGGCACTTTAACCCTCCACCCAGGCATCTGGTCCCCAGCTCCAGGACTCTTAATTGGTCCGGGGTGAGGTCGGGGCCTCAGTCGCTTTCAAAGCTTCCCGGGTGGGGCTGGGGTTGCRCCTCAGCGGTAGAGCGCTTGCCTAGCATGTGCGAGGCCCTGAGTTTGATCTTCAGCACCACATTTAAAAAAAAATAAATAAGTAAAATAAAGGTATGTGTCCAACTACAACTAAAAATATAAATATTTTAAAAAAAAAGGTTCCTAGGTGATGCCAATGAGCTGCCATGTTTGAGACCCACAGGTTTAAAGGATTATGACGGCTCAGATCATGGCGGCTGAGAAGGGGGAGCCAGGGGGACCAGATAGAATCCCCCAGGGCACCCCCTCGGGAGATTTATTTCCTCCAGCCACACCACACCTCCTACAGTTGCTGTCCAGTACAGGATTCCTTTCAAATCATAAATCCATCAAGTGGATGGATCTCCTGATTAGGTTACAACTCTCATCATCTGGTCATTTCACCTCTGAACACAGGAGCTTTGGGAGGGCCGGCTCACATCCAAACCATAACACACCTATCCTAGACTTAGGCTTGAAAAAAGCGAGAAAGGTCATTTGGGTTATAAGATGACAAGATCTGTGTATCAGTTTCCCCATTCGCGGCAGTGGTTTGCGTCCATTCATTTGGGAAGAACCAAGGATGCAAAAAGCAGCTTGGGTTATTCTGTTCTGCCTCTCCTGAAATTCAGGCCTCTCTTATTGTTTCTTATTTTTCATGATATAGGCTTACACAGACCTATGTGATGATCTTCATTCCAGCTCTTCCTGTAAGTTTTTCCAGGGCTCAAAAGCTCCATCCTTGAGGTCCAGGGGTGAACAGTAGCTGGGACATCTGTGAACTCCATGTATTGGCTCAGTCAGTCTTGTGAGTCTCGTGGGTGACGAAGGCTCCTTTGCAGAAGTGTGCTTTTAATCCCACCCATTAAGGATGCAGCCAATGTTAACTTCATCTCAAAGAAACACCAGGGTTGGGGGTGGGGGTGACTCCATTCCAGGAGGCCACCTTCTTGAATTCCAGTAGCTTCAGGGCCTTGTGGGATCATCCAGAGAGAAGAATTCAGACTTTCTTCCCCCACCCGCAGAGGTCTTACCCACCTCATAACCTCTGAGAGCATCACTTTGACCTTTAGACCTTTTGTGGAGACACGCTCAGGAGACAGAGTGTGATCCCACCGAACCCTTCAGTAGGTGTTAATGTTTGACACCCATTTGCCTGTGGTCAATGAACCATCAAAGCTGAGGTCGTTAAGTTGGAGAGTGTGGATGGATTCATTTGCTGGGGCTGTCACCACATAATATCACAGACTGGGGGGAATTAAACAACAAAAATGTATTTTCTCACCRTTCTGGGAGCTGCAAGTCCAAGGTAACGGTGTCAGCAGGGTTGATTTCCTCTGTGGYCTCTCTCCTTGGCTTGTAGATGGCCCCCTCTTTTGCTGCCAAGTCACTTAGTCATCCTCTTGTGTACAGAGCCCCTAGTGCCTTCTTATAAGGTCACTGATCCTGTTGGATTAGGGCACCACTATTACACCCTCAATCATCTCTTTAAAGACCTCCAAATATAGTCACACGGGGAATAGGGCTTCAGTGTGAATTTGGGGGACACAGTTCAGCCTGTAATGGTATCCATTGGTCCTCATAACTAAYTCTGTGCTCTATAGTTTATCTGCTTTCGTTTTATTTATTTTTATTTTTTTTAATAATTTTTTAGTTGTTGATGGACCTTTATTTTGTTTATTTATATGTGGTGCTGAGAATCAAACCCAGTGCCTCACACATGCCAGGCAAGCACTCCACCACTGAGCTACAATCCCAGCCCGATTGATTATTTCTTTCTTTTCTTTTTCTTTCTTTCTTTCTTTTTTTTTTTTTTTTTTGTGGTGCTGGGGATTGAACCCATGGCCTTGTGCCTGCAAGGCAAGCACTCTACCAACTGAGCTATATACCCAGCCCTTCATTTTATTTTTATGTCACTTTTTCTTGGGGGGAGGGGCAGGAATTGGGGGTGGGGGCGAGAGTTGCTGGGCATTGAACCAGGACCTAAAATGTTAGTCAAATGCTTTACCACTGAGGTGCACCTCCAGTTCTACCCTAAAATCTTTAAAAAATGTGATTTTTTTTTCAACGTTCCACTGAGTGGGACAACAGCCTTGTCTGCAAGGAAGGGGCCTTCCAAGTCACCTCCCAATATCCCCAGAATATCTTTGCTATGTACCAAGAAAACTGCATTTCCTTTTTTCAGATGGGGGTTTGCTTGGATCATATGAATCCATAAGAGAGATGTGTGGAAACTCCTTGGCCACACAAACGCCCTGCTCCTGCCCCTGTGCTTCGAGGGAGGCTTGGTGGGTCCCTGTGGGGGCAGAGGGCAGCTGGGTCTTGGTTAGGGCACAAGCCAGCCGTGGCTCCCCGCTCACTGATGTGTGGCCAGACCACAACGTTAACATCCACCTCTGGTTCTCTTGCAGGCAACCTTTCTTTATATCTTACAAGTTAAATACTTGCTCAACCAGGTAATGTGGACAGTTCTTTTCCTTTGGAAGGCTAATGGGATGGGGGCCCTGTGCATACTCAGAGACCCCAGAGTGGGGGACATTTTCAAGGTTGTGCATCCAGGACTTTGATGTGGAGAGGGGTGCTAAGTGATATCAAGGAAATCAAACATTATTTTTGGCTCTGAAAAAATTCACATCCCGTTCCCACTGGGAACTATTGTCATTGGCAAAATAGGGTTGGACCCTCCATGTTCTTTGGCTCTACATTTTAAACTGGCTCCTTGGAAGGAAGAGTGCAGGCCTGTCTACTCTCTGGAGAGAAATGAGGGTCAAATGACCTGTCTGGCTCCAGAGAGCCAGCTTCTCTGCTTGATTCTGTCTGAAAGCCCCCCAGGTTCCCCGGTGGGGACATAAAAGCTTCGATTTTAATGACATCTAATGTTAGTCAGGACTTTTCATATGTGGCTAACAGCAGTGGCCAAAGGTCCCAGAATGGTCGCCTGATTTGGTAGGTGTGGATTCATGATGCCAGTGTTTGATATACGACCATGGACTTGCTTCTAGAACAATCCAGGTAAATGGGGGCTGGGATGTGGATCCCCATCACACAGGCAGGCAGGCAGGCAGGCAGGCAGGCAGGCTTTCCTAGCATGAGGAACGTGAAGGATGAGGGAAAGGAGAAGGAAAGGAGTAAGTTGCCTACCTTCTTCATGATCTCATTGAACATTACCGTATTWAAAAAAAATTAAAAATTTTTCCAATCTTTAAATGTTAGGATTTATATACTCAAACTATCTTTAGACCAAGGGGCTGGAACCCAGGGCCTTGTGCATGCCGGGCAAATGCTCTACCACTGAGTTCCGTCCCCAACCACCCAGAARTCAGCATGCTTGGTGGCCTTCACCTCAGGCCCTAATTTGGTTAAGTGAGGATGGTGGGTAGGAAAACACCATTTTCCAGAAATATGTGGGATCTAGAAGTCRGAGCCCTGAGCCGAGGAGGGTCAGAGGTGTGGACAGAGTGATGGTGAGCAGGAGYGGTTTCTCAGGAGAAAGCCAGGGAAGGGTACCCCAGAGAGTGGGGCTGCAGTGTTGGGGGACACTGTGGGTGCTGGCCCAGGGGCTACTGGAGCAGAGCCTCATGTTCTCTGCTGAGGGCTTCAGTTTGTGGGAAACAAGCTCATTAGCAGGGCAGAGATGAGGTAGTTATGGAGGTGGTGGGATGATGAAGGTCCGTGAGGAAGAAAGCATTGCCTGGTGGGAGCATCAGGACATGTGATCATGGTGAGCTCCATAGAATGAGAGGGCAGGTGGGATGCAGGGACCACCGGAGAGGAGGGAGCGGCACTTTACCCCAAAGTTTCTCTCTCAGGGGCCCTCCCTAGTGAGAAGCCTRGTCAGTAGTTGAGTGTAGAACAAAAAGAAGCAACTGGCTGTGATGGAGAGACTTCGTAATCTGCAAGAGGGCATAGGGGAGGAAGAGAACAGAGGAGCCTAGGCACTCCTTCAATGTGACCTCCCTGGGTCCCCTGTGACTTTCTCTGAGGGAGCTACCTCTTTGAGTATTTGTGTGCACATAACTTCCACATCTGTCTCTGACCTCCAGGTGATATTTCCAGCTGTCTTTGGGAGACCCATGCATGTAGCATATAAGGCCTCTTCATCCTGCCCACAAGCCTGCTCCTCCCCTGCCTGGATACCATCTCAATCCATGGCCTCACCACTTTCTCTCCTTGTAATCTGTCTTTCATAGGCTCTGTCACACCTGTAACAACTTCTTTTTTTTTTTTTTTTGGTACCAAGGATTGAACTCAGGGGCACTGGACCACTGAGCCACATCCCCAGCTCTATTTTGTATTTTATTTAGAGACAGGGTCTCACTGAGTTGCTTAGCGCCTTGCTTTTGCTGAGGTTGGCTTTGAACTCGCGATCCTCCTGCCTCAGCCTCCCAAGCCGCTGGTATTACAGGYGTGCGCCACGATGCCCGGCAGTAACTTCTTTTTTCTTCCTCCTACATCTGTCTGCTCAGTCACCTGGTCCCATTGGTGCTACCTGCCCCTCCCTCTCCTCTGTGCCACCACCTAATTCATTTCTTGCCATTTGTTCTCTGTCATTTCTGTAGAATCTAAGTGTTCCTGCTGCCAGTCTTTCTCTGAGTCCATCCAACACCACAATGCTGATTTTATCTTCAGACTCAAATGTAAATCTGATCGTAAGCTCCCCAGCTAAAAACTAACCAGGGGCTTCTTGATAAATAAGTGGTTTATGTAAGTGGTTGTCAAAGAAGACTCTTGTCCTGGCCCCTTCTGCCTGAGCCATCAGAGACGCACCAGTTAGGTTTTTCCAATCATTATTGAGAGAAAAATCAGAGGAGTCATGGAGAGTCTCATCAGATGAAGAAGAAGAGTTAGAATATGAGTTTGAMGAAGGCTGGGGTTCAGGTGAAATTTAAATGAAGCGGTGATTGGTAGGCTTAGAACAGAATAGGGCTCTGAGGGAAGGACCAGCATCAAGTCTAGACTGTCACATGGACCCAGGTCCTCCTCCTCCTGAAACTGTAAAGCTATGGTGGATGTAGGAGGCAGGTGGMTGTAATCCACTACATCCAGGGACTCATGTGAGGTTCTGCACGTTGGGTGGAAATTGAAGCTACTTTCTTTTTCCTTTTATGGTGCAGGGGATGGAACCCAGGGTCTTGTACATTCTAGGGAGTGCTCTACCCATGAGCTTCACCCTCAACCCCGAAAGATGCTTTTGTGTTAAAGTCAAAAGGAAGAGTGGGATGTTTTCTTTTTACTGAGATCATTCCAAACAGCAACATTTCTTACAGACTTTGATTTTGAGAAGAAAATTTCTCAGTGTGTAAGAAAGCAGCAGTCATTCAAAGAAAAAAAAAAAAAGAAGAAGAAAGACATGTTTATGGGAGCAATGAGACTTTGGGAGCAATAGTGTTCCCTCTTGTCTTTGCAGCCTACGTATTCTGTTCTTCTATCCTTACGTGGCAGGACAGATTTTGACATCCATAAAATGTTATTTTATGTCCATGTGCTAAGTCTTCATTTGATTTGCTACTTTCCCCCTAGGAACTGAACCCAGGGCTTCAAACATGCTAGGCAAGTGCTCCCCCGCTGAGCTATACCCTAGCCCCTAAGTCTGCATTTGAAATACCCAAATAGGCTGGAAATTTTTCCTGCCCCTGTTTTTCAGAGTCAGCTATGATATAGTCTGTTCCACACACCTCCAGAAAGAAACACTAGTTTCACAAGATCTCCTTTGGTYGATTTTTCTGAATTTCCATTTTGGTTGAGAGAGTATTGCACTTTCACACACCGTCCAGTGTAGAAGTGCCTTTTTAAAAACCTGTCAGCTCCTGCATCCTGGAACCTTTGGAGATGAGCCATTTCTCTTCTCTCTGCTTTCTCCACATTTCTTGCCCAGTACATCTCTCTGTGGTTAGAGCTCTTCACTTCATGCTTTAGAAAGAGAAGCAAGAGGAGGGACCGGGAGAGTGGGGAGGTAGGAGTAGCAGGGACCTAATACTGCACCCCAGTTAACCCCTCCTGCTACACCAGAAGTAGACACCCAGCTGAGCAGGCTAGCTGGAGAGTGTCTGGTAAGTGTGGCCCATGTTGTCTCCTTGTTCCAGGGAATTGTTCTGCCCCAGATCCTGACGGGAGTTGCCGCTAACCTTGTCAATGCCCTTGCCAACTACCTGTTTCTCCATCAACTGCATCTTGGGGTGATGTGAGTCCAGGGAAGAAGGGTGGGCACTTGCTGTTCCTTGTGTAGCCTCCTTCTGCTACTCTGGAAAACCCTATTGGGGATGGAGGGATGTGCTGTCCTGGGAAGATAACCTTGGAACCTGCTGGAGAGAGTACAACAAGGGGCATAGCTTCCCTCCTCACTGAGGAARGCTTGGAGAAGGTGAAGCACAGGTGCCTGCCCTTACAGGGACTGTCTTTTCCAGGGGTTCTGCATTGGCCAATATGATTGCTCAGTTCACCCTGGCTCTCCTCCTCTTTCTCTACATCCTTGGGAGGAAACTGCATCAAGCTACATGGGGAGGTACGACTGCCTTTTGTCTTCTAATGTGGATGAGCCTTTGCCTTGGGCTGAGTGCAGCCCGCTGGCCAGATAATGCTGGAAATGTGTGTGTGTGTGTGTGTGTGTGTGCCTGCAGGGTGGTCCCTGGAGTGCCTGCAGGACTGGGCCTCCTTCCTGCGCCTGGCGATCCCAAGCATGCTCATGCTGTGCATCGAGTGGTGGGCCTACGAGATTGGGAGCTTCCTGAGTGGTCTGTATAGGGATGATTTGTGAAAACGGGGTGGGTAGGGTTCAGGGGATTGGGGAGATCGGTCCAAAAGCAAGGTGTCAGCTTTCTTGATTCCCCAGGTATCCTTGGCATGGTGGAGCTGGGAGCTCAGTCCATCGTGTACGAGCTAGCCGTCATCGTGTACATGGTAAGTGAGTGCCACCATGTGGACATGCGAGGTGTTCCCCTGGCTTGGTAATTAATTCTGCAGGTGGCGTTCTTTGATGGACACAGCCTTCGTGATGTAAGTGATTTGTGAAATGATTGATGAATGTTATCCGAAAGCCCAGGAGGGTCCTTATGGTATGGCTGGATCTTCCCGGTGAGCTGAAGCGGGAGTTAGGCAGAAACTCCAAATGATCTATGTGTCAGCTTTTCATTGCTGTGACCAAAAACCTGACAAGAAGAACTTAGAGGAGGAAAAGTTTATTTTGGGTTCATGGTTTCAGGGGTTCAGCCCACGGACAGCCGATTCCATTGCGCTGGGCCCAAGAGCATCATGATAGAGGGCGTGATGAAGGAAAGCTGCCTCATGGGACCAGAAAGAGAAGAGGGAGCCAGGGGACAAGATATAATCCTTAATAAGGGCATGCTCCCAGTGACCYTCCTTCTCTAGCCATGGTCCAGCTGCTTACAGTTACTACCCAGTATAGTTGTCTTTTCAAGTTCTTAATCCATCAAATGGATTAATCCACTGATTGGGTTACAGCTCCCATAACCTCTAGCATTAACACATATCCAAATCATAACAATCTTCTAGCTTTCTGTTTCTATCACAATTCAAGTTGGACAGGTTTGATTGTATTTTCACACATTTAGAATCTTTTTAGTTGTCACAACAGGAGTGCCTTGAGGGGCCAGGTGAGAAGAAACAGAGCATACGGCCATAAAGGCTAAGTTACTTACCACGCCCAACTGCTTGGTTCTGAAGCCTCCTAAATCATAGTGGGTCCTCCTAAGAATGGGAAGCAGGATTTCCAATTGTTTGAGGAACTCCAGTCATTTGAGGATTTTCTGTGACTTTGATTTACGGAAAACATCCATTGCCTATTCTGAAGGACTGACTCTCTTCTATAGCAAGTTATCACTTTAGAAATATAAAATTAAAGACAGGGTTTGGGGGTGAAGCTCCATTGGTAGGGTGCTTGCCTAGCACTTGCTAGTTCCTGGGTTCCATCGCCGGCATAACACACACACACACACACACACACACACACACACACACACACGATGGAAAGGGGCGTTTGTAATGTGGAAAGAGACTAAAACCAGCAAAGATGCTTTGAGTTTTTTGTGGCATTAGGGTTACATTCTCTCCTCCATTTGGCTATGTATATAATGGACACCTCAATGAACATCCTAGGATGAACGTCTCTGTGTACTTGCTCGATTGTTTCTTTAAATTTGTACCAAGTGACACTTAATGTACAATTTCAARTCCTTTGCATGTGTTGCATATTCTTTCCAACAGGCTTGTAAGAATTTACATTTCTACTTCAACAACTGTTCACATTTTGCTCCGTTTGCTGGCTCTGCCTGTCTGTCTATTTATCTACCTACCTGCCTGTTTATTTATCTGCAAGGTCCATAATTAAATGCCACCAATTGTCCCAATAATCTCCTCTATAACTGTTTATTTCCTTTGACATTAGGGTGACATGTCTCTTTAGAGTTCTTTAATCTGGAACAAATCGATCAAATCCTTAGACTTTCTCTGTCTTCCTTGACTGTGTGTTCTACCTATCTTCTCATAAATAGATTCAGACTAACATCCATTTTGGGCAGGAATATTATAGAAGCGATGCCATGTGCATTTCAGGGCCTTGTATCAGGAGGCACATGATATTGATGGTTCTATCATTGGTGATGTTAATTTGGGTTGCTTAGTCAAGGTGGTGCCTGCCAGATTTCTCCCTCTTGTGTCTCTATATCTTCCTTTATGGTGAAGAAATCATTTGTTGCAAGATCTCTGTCCCTTTCATGAGCTTTAGGTGGGGACTGTCTTCCATTTCTTTTACATCTCTCAATCCTTCCTCAATCTGTGTATTAGATTTTCTGTAACCCCATCCTTAGTTATCCTGACTATATAGCAACTTTTATAGAGTGATGAATCTTTTTTCTTTATTAATATTTGCCAAGTGGAAAATTTATAGATAATAGTCACGGTAAATTGCATTGAGCARTTACTAACTGTGAGACGCTGTCTTAAGCAGTGAGCAGGTATGGACTCAGTAAAGACCCACAGTATCCCTGTCCGGTAGGTTCCATCACTGAAGCCTTTTTACAGATAAAATAATGAAGGTCCAGAAAGTCGAAGTAACTTGAGATCGMAAAGCAGAGGTCTAGAGAGGTGGGAGTAACTTACTCGGGGTCACAAGAGATTTGAACGCAGGCTGTCTGACTTCAGAATCCTGATTCGTAACTACAGTGCCAATTCGGTTTCCTTATGCTTCCTTTGGTACCAAGTTTCTGTCTTCTAAACTTAATCCCTTGATGCTCTTTCAGAACAGACACTCGTGTGGGCTCTGGATAGCTCATCCCCTTCCCCTTCCCCCATACCCAGAGGAGGTTTGTGATTGTGGGATCCTCCTCTGGCAGAGGTTCAGAAACTCATAGAAAAGTCCAGAGTGTGATGAGCATCATTATCTTGAGGATCCAGGTTCCACATTAGCCCTGGGCATCCCAGCAGGACCAAGGCCATTTGCAAATTAGGTTACAGAACTTATAGGACCAAGTTTTGCCTTGGAGATATGAGGCACCAAGTTGCTTCTCTGTTTCTTGTTCTCATTTTACAGTTTTGTTGTTGTAGGCTTCCTTTTCATTTTAGATCCCTGCGGGCTTCAGTGTGGCTGCCAACGTCCGGGTAGGAAATGCTTTGGGTGCTGGCAACATTGAGCAGGCAAAGAAGTCCTCTGTGGTTTCCCTGCTGGTCACAGGTGCTTAGACCCCTTGGCCCCGTGCATGAGCCTCACAGTGCCTGTAGCCTCTGTACATGAAACCCAGGTGCTCCTGTGTCCTTCGGGCCTCCTTGTTCACTGTGCTGTTTTTTCCCTCTCACCTCCAGAGCTCTTTGCTATAACATTTTGTGTCCTGCTGTTAAGCTGTAAGGACCTCGTGGGATACATTTTCACTACTGACCGGTGAGTGCCAGGATTTTCTTGAAAGGTAAAATCTGTGCGAAAGAGTTGCTGTCGTGGGGGGGTGGGAGCCTGGGCTAGCTGCATCTCAGGATGGGTCTGAGTCTTTTGCAAGATCAGAAACTCTACTGATTAGATGTGGAAGCCTGTTTATATTCTAGAATGTCAGTTTAATGGATATTGGTAGTGGTATTACCCTTCTGATGGTCATGTCTTTTTTTTTAAAAAAAAATGTTTTTTGTTACTATTGAATACATTTTCAGGTGATTATAGCATTCCAAAATTCAAATCAGACATATTCCAGAGTCTGAAACCTTCGGAGCACCAGCATGATGCCACAAGTGGAAAATTCTAYACCTCACCTCACGTGACAGCTAGCAGGCAAAATCTAGGCACTCTAAAATATTGCATAAAATTATCTTCAGGCTGGGGGTGGTAGCACATGCCTATAATCTCAGTGACTCCGGAAGCTGTGGCAGGGGGATCACAAGTTCAAGGCCAGCCTCAGCAAATTTGTAAGGCCTAAGCAACTTAGTGAGACCCTGTCCCAAAATCAAAAAATAAAAAGGGCTGAGAATGAAGCTTAGTAGTTAAGGGTACAAAAAAAAATTACCTTTAGCCTATGTGTATGAGGTATCTATGAAACATCCATGAATTTTGTGTTTAAATTTAAGTCCCGTACCAAGATGCCTCATTATGTATATGCAAATATTTTAAAATCTGAAAAATAATCTGGAACACTTCTGGTGTAATATTTCTGAATAGGGCTACTCAACAATTATCTTGGCTCCAATGACACRAATCATCTTGTATCTGCCAAACTGMCAGGTTTATAGAATATGCACAATATTTTTGCCAAATCAGATGGAAGTCAAAATTTCACTCATAAGCTATCTCAGAAATCACAGTATTGGCTGGGTGCAGTAGGAGGTTCATGAGTTCAAAGCCAGCCTCAGCAACGGCAAGGCACTAAGCAACTCAGTGAGACCCTGTCTCTAAATAAAATACAAAATAGGGCTGGGGATAAAAGGAATCACAGTATTAGATTGATTGCTGAAGAATTCTGGAGTGTGATAAATACCTTTCTGCTTTGCAGATTTTTCCTTTCTTCATTGATGAGACTAGCTGGTACATTCTAACTGTACAGAAATACCATGGGAATACTTCTTATTTGGGATCCCTTGTTAGCAATTCCAAATGGCAAATTGGTTTTTGCTCCATGGTTTCAAAAAGCCATTGGAGTGGGCAGAACAAACTTTCAGTTTACTCTTCAGATATTTATCTTCTATATCCAGATAGTTTTTTTTTTTCATCCTCTGCCATTGTATTACAGATTTTCCATTTTGGGATGARTAAGGAAGGCAATCATAAATAGTTCTCATTTTTCTCAAAGGGAATCAGAATTAACTTTACTGGAAATACAGGATACACTGATGGTTCCATTGGGAATGTGGGGGATTGCATTCTGTCCACTTCTGAAAACCACACAGAGCAGGAAAAAGGATGAAAAAAAAATACTTAAAAACTGTATCTTTGAGATTAGGAGACACAGGAAACGCAAATATCAAAATACCATCATATGCAACATAATGACATTTTGGTCAATGATGGACTGAATATATGACCCGTCAGATTATAAAAGAGCTGAAGATACCTGTTCTAGGGCCTCTCGATGCCACAGCTGTCACCACTCACATGTTTGTGGTAATGCTCTGCCACTTGTATAAAAGTATATGTATATATTACATAATAACTTGATCTATATTACATAATACTTGATAATTATAATAACTGACTTTATATTRTTGGTTTATGTATTTATCACACTGCACTTTTAACCATTATTTTAGAGTGCACTCCTMCTTRTAAAGGTTTCCCACGAAGCAGTATTATGTCAGCAGAGCCCCATGCACCACCTAGGCCCTGCTTCTCTTGATTGCATTCTTTTCTCATACTGTTGTCTTTATCATGGCCCTAGGAGCCATAGGAGTAATAGGCTATACTGCACACACACACACACACACACACACACACACACACACTATTTAACCAAGGTGTGTAGTAGGGTTCACCATCAGGTTTGCGTAAATTTGTTCATTCTGAGATGTTCGCACAATGGCGACATCAGCTAACAATGGTGTTTCTCAGAATGTGTTGCTGTCACTACGGAGCCAAGAAGCAACTGAAATGAGCAAAATCATTGATATAAATGAAGCAGGGCCTGTTTAACCTCAGGAGAGAGAGAAGGAGAAAGTCCCTCTACACAGTAAGAGAGGAGTGAATTACTGCAAATCATCATCTTTTTTAAAAAAAAAAAATCCATGAGAGAAATCAGTTTGCACGTTTTTATTTTTGCAAGAGAATTTTTAAGAACTGGAAGAAATAGACAATTCTCTAAGAAAATAATTGATCAAAATTTACTCAAGAAGAGCAGGGGTTGTGGCTCAGTAGTAGAGCACTTGCCTAGCATGTGTGAGGCACTGGGTTCGATTTTCAGCACCACAAATAAAATAAAATAAAATAAAGGTTCATCAACAACTAGAAAAATATAGACATTAAAAAATTACCCCAAAAAGGGATTGAAAAATCTAAACATGGTGATTTCCTTATGAGAAATAAGAGACAGTAACTTAAAATGCCAAAAAAGCATTAGTTCCAGAGGGTCCCAAAGGAGAATTTTATCCAGTCTTTAAAATGTAGATAAAATTCCAGTCATGTTTAAACTATTCCTCAGCACAGAAAAATGGAATTTCAGCATTCTGTTTATGAAGCAAACATAAAAGTGGCTCCAGAATCTGACAAAATTTGCACATTAAAAAAAAGAAAATTAAACCATTCTCACTTATTAATATGGATTTAAAAATTCAAAATAAAGAGCCAGGGGTGTGCTCCTTGGGTGTGCCCAGCATGCAAGCTTAGGCTGCACAGCACCCTGGATTCAATCCCCAGCACCCAAAAGRAAGAGAAATAAAAATCCAAAATAAAGTATTAGTAGGCAAGAATTGAACAACACAGTGAAAATAATATATTTTTGGTAGAATAGGAAAGGTGAAGATGAGAGGTGGAAACGGCAAGATGCAGATCATGTACAGAATGCTTTTTGTGAAGTGATAGTGTACAGAAATTAAGAATATCCATTTGTATTTGCTTATATTTTCATTAAAACTGGACAAATACACAAAGTAGAAATAATTGTTACCTGGAGGACAGGGTAGTAATGGGGTGGATTGGAAGACTGTGGCCATAAGGCTTCTCACTCTCCTTTTCCTGTTGTTTGATTTCTTTAATCATCTGCAAATTTTCCCTATTCAGACATTAAATTTTAGTAAATGAACTATGTTCCTGTCCTTTCTGAAGAAGCGATTATCYTGGGCTGGGGATGTGGCTCAAGCGGTAGCGTGCTCGCCTGGCATGYGTGCAGCCCTGGTTCGATCCTCAGTACCACATACCAACAAAGATGTTGTGTCCGCTGAAAACTAAAAAATAAATATTTAAAAATTCTCTCTCTCTCACTCTCTCTTTAAAAAAAAAAGAAGTGATTATTTTGTTCAGTGCTAGATTCCACATTTATTCATTCATTTAACAAATATTTATTGTCATGCAATAATATGGGCTTATTTGTGACCAGTCCACTGAAGGGTATGATGGATTTCTTCCCTCCCTAGGTCAGTGATAGAATTTTTCTTGCTTCCTGTCACATGTGGGCTTTTAAATCTGTCTCTCTAGGGGGCACGGTGGCACATGCCTGTCATTCCAGTGACTCAGGAGAATCACAAGTCCGGGACCAGTCTCAACAACTTAGCTGAGGCAATGTATCAAAAAAAAAAAAAATTAAATAAAAAGGGATGTAACTCAGTGGTAAAGAGCACTTGAGTTAGATCCCAAGTGACTCCTCCTTCCCTTGGAAGGGGGGGGGAATCATCTATTCTAGCATTAGAAATTAAAGCCCCTTTGTAGGATCTAAGGATAATTCTGCAGAATGTATCTAAGGCTGTAAAACCTACTAAACTTGGTTCCATAGAAAGCACTTTTTTGTTCATTTTTTGGTGATGCTGGGGATCAAACTCATAGCCTCACACATGCTGGGTAGGTGCTGTACCACTGAACTATACCTTCAGCTCCGATAGAGAGCACCTTAACTCTGTAATGCTTTATCCACTGTGGGATTGAACCTAGAAGTGTTCTGCCTCTGAGACCCATCTTCAGCATCCACTTTTAAATTTTTAAATTTTATTTATTTACTTTTAAAATTTATTTTGGTGCTGGGGGACCAAAATTCAGGGGTGGGGGCTTTACTACTGAGTTACTACTGAGCCCTTTTTACTTTTTATTTTGAGACAAGATCTTGCTAAGTTGCGTAGAGCCTCACTATATAGCTGAAGCTGGCCTCGAACTTGKAATCCTCCTACCTGAGAGCCCACCAAGTCACTAGGATTACGGTTGTGCACCAACATACTCAGTTTTTTCTTTCTTTCTTTCTTTATATATATATTTACATTTTTAAAATACCTTTATTTTTATGTGGGTTGAGGATCGAACCCAGGGCCTCAAATGTGCTAGACAAGCACTCTACCGCTGGGCCACAGCCCCAACCACTTTCTTTTCTTATTCTTTTTATTTTTTTGCATTAGGGGTTTGCTAAGTTGCCCAGGCTGGCTTTGAACTTAGGATCCTTCTGCCTCAGCCTCCTGAGTAGCTGGGAACACAGGGGTGCACCATAGTGCCTGGTCTAAGGAATCATTTTAGAAGGATGACGGTAAAATGTAAGCTTTAGTTTTTGCAGGCAGTGGAGTACCAAGTCATTGAATTGGTTTATGTGATCAACTACATTCAATTACATTTGCCTGCTTTTATTTAGCAATTATATATATAAATAGAATTTTCCCCCTAAAAATTATAAGATAGAGTTTCCCTCTAAAAATTATAAGATAGAGCTGGGGATATAGCTTAGTGGTAAAACACTTGCCCAGCATGTGCAAGATCCTGAGTTGGATCTCCAGCATTGGGGAAAAAAAAGTCATGTCCTACAACATGCAGTTTGCTTCTTCTTTGGGCCAAGCACCTGTAGCATTGTCCCTGCATAGAAGCTATTGGCTGGAATGCATGGGCCATGTCTGCAAGACAAAGGTTGAACTGTGCTGCTGAACTGAGACAGGAGCAAAGTCCCACCACCTGGAAACTGCGTAGTTCTCCTTTCCCACATATTTGTGTTCCACTAATCACCATGTGCTTTATTTTCTGAACAGAGACATCGTTGCTCTGGTGGCTCAGGTGGTTCCAATTTATGCTGTGTCCCACCTCTTTGAAGGACTTGCTGTGAGTGTTGTGCCCTTAAGAACTTTCATGATCTACATTATGTGTTTCTTCTGATGATGGTAAATTTCAACTGAGAAGAGGAGTTAGGGTAGGAAGTACTATTGTCATGGTTCCTTCTGCAGGATATTGTCACACGTTCATGGATTTTTAAGTCTGAGTGGCATGAAATATCTGGTCCATGCTTGGGAGGTGGGGAGTCTTTCAAAAGCACCAGTAGTGTTCACACTGATGAGATGTTACCTGCCCACAGTGTACGAGTGGTGGCGTTCTGCGGGGAACTGGAAGTCAGAAGGTGGGAGCCATTGTTAACGCCATTGGGTATTACGTGATTGGTCTCCCCATTGGGATCTCACTGATGTTTGYGGCCAAGCTTGGAGTGATTGGTAAGCTTTATTTCAAAAATAATAATTGGGAATATACTGGTAATCAATAAATGATTATATCAAAACTTGAAGGTTGTCTTTGGGTGAAGTGTAACTGATTTAAATATGGTTTGTTTTAATCCATCAGATCTGGGCAGGCAGAGCAGTTACCGACCAGGAAATGACCCTCAGAGAACACTGAAATTTGACTCTGGAATTCTGGAGTTTTCCACTTCAGTTCTACCCTTGGTTAGAGAAAGCAGGGCTGGACACACAGTAGCCTCCAGCTCCAGCCCCAGCCCCAGCCCCAGCCTCAGCCAGGAGCCCAAGGCTGCCTGGTCATGCCCCTCTTGCCCATGCAGGTGATGGTCCCCATTGCCATACCCAGCACAACAAAATGTCCTTTCTAATCCTCTCCCTGATTTACCCGTCCAGTTTTCACTTCTTCAGAGGAGTGACAGCAAGGACCACCGAAGAAGCATTTGGAAATGTCCCTTTTGTAGATCTGTTCTGTTCTTTTAGTGATAGCCCYTTGCCTCGGCAAGACCCTGACAGTGAGACTGCAATAGGAAGGTCATCCTCCTGTGGCCATCCTGGAGAGATTGGGGTGAAGTGGGAAAGTGGCCGGTCAGCAACATGGCACCTGGACCCAGTAGGACATAGAATAGCACCCTTCTGTGCTCACCAAGGGGCATGGCAACTGGCCAGYGCTCTCCTTATCATCCTTACCTTCTTCTGTAGCCCCTGCCTCCCACCTGCCATAATCTTTGGTATAATCTTATCCATGTATCTTGTGGGTATTCTCATAGAGTATGGGAGGGGGGGACCAATGTGGACAGTGCAGAAGGAAGGTGGGGCAAGACATCTCTTTATCCCTTGTTTTAGTTAGCTTTTTTTTGTTACTGTGACCAAAAGACCTGACAAGAACAATTAAAGGAGGAAAAGCTTATTTGGGAGTTTTTTACAGTTTCAGAGGTCTCGGTGTATAGACGGCCAGCTCCATTGCTCTGAGCCACAGRTGAGGTAGAACATCATGATAGAATGGTGTGGTAGAGGGAAGCAGTTCAGGGCATGATATCAGGAAACAGAGACAAAACTCCACTTAACAAGGGCAAAATATAAACCTCAAAGGCACAYACCCAGTGATCCACCTCCTCTAGCCACACCCTACTTGCCTATGGTTACCGCCCAGTTAATCCATTCAAGTGGATTAATGCATTGATAAGGCTAAGTCTTTTGTAACCCAATCAGTTCACCTCCGAAAGTTCTTGTTTTGTCTCACAYATGAGCTTTTGGGGGATACCTCCTATCTAAACCATAATATCCTCTTACTGAATTTGGAGGAAAGAACTGAATCCACATGATCTGAAATTACCAGAGCTATTTTTTTTTTAAGTAGGGAAATATGTGACTGCCTAGCTTTGGTTTCTAAAATAATAATTGGGAATGCATTGGCAGTGAATACATGATGATATTAAAACCTGAACATTGTCTTTGGTGTGAAGTGATAACTGAATTAAGCATGGTTTGTTTTAATCTATTAGTATTTGGCGGGCTCAGAGGTGGTGAGAAGTCATCCGATAMCCACAGAGAACTTCCAGACCAACATGCTTCATTGTGTTGCACATTTTTCTCAAGTTCAATAATGTTTTAATTAAAAATACAGAAGATGGTCAAAGAATGGAATTTTCAGAACTCATTGGTGCAGAAAATTATTTAGCTGAGTTTCTGGCATTATTCAGGCTTTGACTTCACTGATGAAAATGTTAATGGAAATTAAACAGAGGAACCTTTTTTTTACTGATATATTTTATTTAACAAAATCTATCTAAAATATTATCATTGGAACATTCAATAAGTATAAAATACTAAAGATAACATATTCTTTTTTATATTGTATCATTTTATAAAAATTATTTTAATTGAAAAAGCATACATGTCTGTATGAAAATGCTACAAATAAAACCATTATTTTGTACAATTAATATGCACTAATTATAATTTTAAAAATGAATCACAATTGTATACATATGTGGGGCACCATGTGGTATTTTCGTGTGCATACAATGTGGAATGATTAGATCAAGGTAATTAACATACCTGTCATCTTGCTTATTTTTCATGATGAGACATCTGAAATTYACTCATATGCAGTATGGTATGATTGACTATAGTCATCCTGCTGTGCAGTAGATCTCAAAACTCATTCTTCTTGTCTATCTACAACATTGTGTCCTTTTGTGTTTCTTGGGATCAAATCCAGGGCTTCATGCATACTAGGCAAACACTTTACCACAGAGCCACACACTTTGGCCCAAGAAACCTTGTACCCTTTGACCAACAATTCCCCATACTCTCCCACCCCATCCCCCCGGGTCACCCCAGCCTCTGGTAACCATCATTCTACTCTCTACTTCTTTCAGTTCAACTTTTCTGGAAGAAGAATTTACTTTAAAATATAGATCCCTCTATATCCTAAGGGATGTACTTGTCCCACTTCATTCATTTAGTAAAAGCATACCTACTGTGTGCAAAGTAGAGGGATTTGAGAATTTCTGAAGGAAATGTTGGGGGCTCTAGGACACTGTGAAAGGACTGTAGTCAATTCTTCCCACCTACCATTTAGATGGAAGTATAGCATGAATTGGTTCGGAATGTCATATTGCTCCCAGTAGGGTGCGCAGTGTAACTGTACAAAATGCCCAGATGAATCTCAAAATGCTACAGATTCTCCTGAGCAACGTATCACATTGTAACAGCCTCAGAATTCCCTTGGAATTCCTAATTCCTGCCCAGGATATTCTAATAATTATCCTGTTTGGCTGGGTGCAGTGGTGCACACCTGTAATCTCAGGGGTGAGGGAGGCTGAGGTAGGAGGATTGTGAGTTCAAAGCCAGCCTCAGCAACTTAGCAAGATCCTATCTCATTAAAAAAAAAAAAAAGGCTGGGGATGTGGCTCAGTGGTTAAGTGGGTTCAATCCCTGGTACCAAAAAAAAAAACCAAAACAAAACCAAAATCCTGTGTGGGGTTCCTAGTTGAGTCAAACAGAAATMGTTTAATATGTATTGTGAAATTACGAGAAATCAAGTTCATAATTTTCAAATTATGACTGGAGCTAGCTAGTTATTTTCTTTTGAAGATAAGGTGAACTTGTAATTTCTGTGTCCTAGGAACTCTGGATTTGGAAGAGGAAGGAGGGGCTTGCTTTTACTAATCCATTATAGGACTAGCAGGTGGTCACTAAGTTCACTATTGTGAATGAAGATAAATGTGATGGGAAGGTGATTGGTGAAGAGGAGTAGAGGAGCTGTAAACCTTGCATGGAGTCTCCCCTCCAGAACCTGGGAACCCAGACTAGCCCCCTTAATCATTACATGGATATGAACAGCCGTGGAAATAAACCAAGAACAAGCAAAAGAGAAAAGCAAAGGTTTTGTGTTCTGAGCCTGTCACCCAGGGAAGTCAGCCACTGGTAGTGGGAGAGCTTTATAGTGGGTAAGAAGGATGGTTCAGGTGGCCCTGATTGGAGGCTCAGGCCTGGGGGAGCTAGAGGTGGCTGACTAGACGTGGGGCCACTACATGATTGGCTAGGGGTATATATTTGTCTGAAGGTGGAAGTGGGGACCCAAATTAGGGAAGCTGTCAGTTATGAGCCAAGCCTGGCCATTTGGCATTGATTGTTGTAGAAGTTATGGTTTGGCTTTCTGATTTGTCACTAGAAATGCCAAAGTCGCTTCCAGCAAGTCTGGTTTCTAGCAGGCTGCCTTCCTGGGTTGCTTATTGTGGTTAAAAGTTTGGTTTCCTGGGCTGGTTGCTGCATGTGGGTCAGAGTTCTGTTTTTACGTTCAGTCTGGCAATCGTCTGTCTGTACATTCATCCTCCCATGGACCACCTTAGAGCTTTTGATTCTATCATTAGTTCATTACTGATAAAGCCTCTCATTATTTGCATCTCCTCAATGCCTTATATAGGGTTTTAAATTTATTTATTCATTCATTTATTTATTTGATAGCAGAGATTGAACCCAGGAGTGTACTACCTCTGAGATACGACCCAAAAATGTTTATTTTTACAAAAATGTTTATTTTGAGATAGCGTATTGCTAAGTTGCTCAGTCTGGTCTCAAACTGGCCATCCTCCTGCCTCAGCCTCCTGAGCAGCTAGAATTACAGATGTATGCTACTGTGCCTGGCCTTGTGTGGGTTCATTAGGTAGAATCTGTATAATAATTTGAGATCTAACAGGCTTTCTCTATCATTCATTTGCACTCAACTTCTCCTCTTTGTTTCTAATCATCTCTGGGTGCATAACCCTTCCCTGCAAGCTTCCAGAAAAATCTGTAGAGGTCAAGTAGGAAACTCTGGGGTAGAGAATATCATTGCTTTTTAATGAGTAGTAAATTTTGCTATGAAAATCATTTTATTTTTTAACTGTTAAAATGTTTTAATATCAATGTAAAATGGGATCCAGGTGTTACAAGCATCCTTTTGAACACAAACATTGATTTCTAAAATGGTTTCTCAGCTGGGGGTGTAACTCAGTGGTAGAACATATGTTTAGCATGCACAGGGCTCTGGACTCAATCCCCAGCATGTCCCCCCACCACACCATAAAAAGCTTTCTTTCCCTTTCAGAAGCCTAAATACTGAGGTATAGTCAGGGATCCCCCATGGAAAGTAGCATCCYTTAAGGTTAAGTGGTAAAAACTTTGAGAGGGGAGGGGATGAGATAATCAGAGCCCCACAGGAACAAATGAATTCCAGGGACTAACTCATGGCTTGTTAGCTATTAAGAGCACAGTATGTCCCTTTCCCTCCCCACTCACTCTCAAACCGTCTTATAGGTCTCCAAAAACCAGATGCATCACTAAAGTCAGGATACCTTTGCCATGACTCTCTAAGAACAAATAACAAAGAGGACAAAACTGTTGAGGCGTCATTGAAATAGCAAATTCCAAGGACCCTGAACTTGTTACTTGCATGATTTATGTTTTTCTCCATCTGCATGTGTTTTCTCCACAGTTCTAGCAATTCATCCTTATCACAAGGCGGAGGTGATTATATAAGGAAAGATGTAACATTTGCTCCAGACTGAAGGGCCCCTCCCTCAAGGTTGAAGGACCCCCCCCCACACACACACACAAAAAAAAATACCTTAGAAAATATGCCCAAAGCCAATTAAAATTCCTAGACTGTAGCCTACCCTTGCCATTTTTGCACAGGAATAAAAACTTAGCTCCCTTTGTTTGAAGAGTTAGCTTGACAGTCTCTGGTTTAGTGCTGGGTCTCCCTTCTGCTGGAGCAAGAAATCCCAATAGTCTTGTTCCTGTTGCCGTTGATCCTTCCTTGGATTCATCTGGTGGAGCACAAGAACCACCAGGACTAATACTATGAACAAATAATTCTTAGGTTTTTCTTACATTTTTTTCCTTTTTAATACGTCTCCAGGTGACCAACATGCAAACTAACTAATATCCAAAATCAAAGGCCTCTAGAAGCAGCCAAATTAAAAATGAAGTATTTTAATTCACTAATTGACCATGATGATTTCTGCTTTTTTTTTTTTTTTAATGTTCATCTCTTTTGAGGAACATAGGGCAGAAGGAGTTTTGTCCTGGGAAATTTAATTTTCTTGTCACTGGCACTATTATTGATATCCAGTCATTACAATAAAAATGGCCAGCGATAACCTCTGAACCTTTGCTGTGACAATCACAGAATGTGGTCTCAGGGGGTGCTGGCCATCTGGAAACCCAAGAAGAGAGCAGGTAGAGCCCCACGGTCCACTATGGACCCCATCTCAGCCATGGATGCAGATTCCCAGCTTGGTCTGCAGAAGTAACAGGAGATATATATATCCTCTCTGGTGTGGCCATTTTCCACTGAGCTAACCACCTCTGTTAAATGTTTCCACATCCAGGTCTGTGGGCAGGGATCATCATCTGTACTGTCGCTCAAGCTGTGTGCTTTATAGTCTTTATTGCTCGGCTCAACTGGAAACAAGCCTGTCAACAGGTAACTATGCTCATGGATGTCCCAGCAAAAGTCCCTTCCCTAGGGGCTGGAGATGTGGCTCAAGTGGTAGCGTGCTCGCCTAGCATGCGTGAGGCACTGGGTTCGATTCTCAGCAAAAAAAAAAAAACAAAAAAAAACACAAAATAACGATATTGTGTCCATCTAAAAAACTAAAAAATTTTAAAAAAAGTTTCTTCCCTAGAAAACAAGCAGGATCTGATGGGGTGCTCACTCTTTTGCTTTGGGAGGTTCTTTTCTCTTTGATGCTATTTTTAGGTTTTAACTGGATTTTCAGATGCGAAGGACTCCATGACCCTGGCTTTATCTGTTTTCTCCTTGTGGAGTCAAAGAATAGAAACATACAAGCCTCCTTTTATTTATTTATTTATTTATTTATTTATTTATTTATTTATTTATTTATTTTTATATCTCCTTTAGCATCTCACCTTTGGTCAATTTCAGGATAGAATTGGAAACTTGAGAGAAAGCATCAAAGTTCATCCTAACCCTGTTTACTGTTTTCTCAAAATATTTTGCTAAGATCCTGTGGGCCTCCTTCTCTCCACCTTTCCAGGGTCAATGTGAGGTCTGGAAATAGGAGGTTAAAAAAAGGAGATGAAGTAAGAAGGCAGGTTCTAAGTGATCTTAGTCCTTCATCTTACCCTGCACCGTGTCCCTCTCACTGACTCCATTTCAGTTCTTATGAAAGCGGATTCTATAGCCGTGACCTAGAGAAGATTCAACTTTATATGTCCATTGAGAAACAGGGCTTGGCTTTTCCTAAACTGGGTATCAAACCTACACTATGTGAACTCTGAATTTCATTTTTCTAGGCTCAAGTACATGCCAATTTGAAGGTCAATGTGGCCCCAGATGAGAATTCTGCTGTCCCTCAAGATCCAGTTTACCCAGGTATGATATAATGCTGTCAGCTCTTAGGCCTGTCTAGGTAGGACTGGAGGGGTCATTTGCTCAATTTACTGCTTTGTATTGATATAGGGTACTGATGTTTCAGAAATAAATGATAGAGTCAGTTAATGCCCACTTTGGGGTAAATTAAAGTTTGTTGGCTTCAATTCCATACATTAACATACGGCTATAGTGATTAAAGGGCCCTTAGTTGCTAATTTGTGGTATTTCTGCAACCATTCTATAGGCATTTTTTCTCTTTTAAAATATGTTTTTAATTGACATAATAATTGTACATATTTGTGGGTCACAGCGTGACATCTCAATACATGTGTACAAATGTGTAATGATCAGTTTGGGGTAATTGGCTTATCCATCACTTCAAACATTTATCATTTCTTTGTGTTTGAGCTACAGATATTTCTAATACTTAGAGATCCTCTGCATGGGTCATATCTTGGAAACTGACATTTGTGTTTATTTTAGTGAGGTTTCTAGTGTCTATTAGAGACACCTGCTTTAAGTAAGTTATTGTTTAGACAATTGCTTCTGATGAACATTCTACAAATGTATTTTTTTTTCCTGTCATTTTTGTAATTCTTTTTTCTCTCTCTCTCTCTTTCTTGGTTTATTATATTCTGTTAACCATTTCTTTAATTCTTTTTTAAAATTTGTTTTAATTAGTTACWCATGACAGTACAATGATCTTGACATACATTTGAATCAGATGGGGTATAATTTCTCATTTTTCTGAATGTATTTGCAGAATTACATTGGTCATGCAGTCACGTATATACCCACAGCAATAATAATGTCTATTTTATTCTGCAGTCCATCTTTGTAATTCTTCTACATTCCCAGTTTCTTAGGCAGGTAGTCATTTTAGTCCTTTGTTACTGTAAAGGAGGTAACAATGGTTTCCCTCTGCACACATAGGTTCTACAGCTAGTCCAAGAATGGAATTGACACAGGGCAGATTAACAGGAGAAAAAATATATTTAATTACATKCACAGGCTTGGGAATCCCACAAAATGAGACTCAAAGAAGGGTCAGATGGGTATAGTTAATATCGCTTCCTGAACAATAGAAAGGAGTAGGGGTGTGAGGCTTCTGGGGGGTTGGCTACACAAGAGAAGGTGAGAGGAATAAATGCATGATAAATAAAGATGGTCTTCTTATGTAGAAAGTTTCTCAGATGATAAAAGTTGTTCAGGAGCAGCCCTCTTCCTGATATAGACACTTTTACTAATGTAAGTTTTCTTTTTTTTTTTCTAGTTTCTTTTCTTTTTTATTCTAATTTGTTATGTATGACAGCAGAATTCATTACGGTTCATATCATACATATAGAGCACAATTTTTCATATCTCTGGTTGTATGCAAAGTATATTCACACCATTCGTGTCCTCATGCAGCTACTTAGGGTAATGGTGTCCATCTCATTCCACCATCTTTCCTACCCCCATGCCTCCTCCCTTCCCTCCCTCCTCTTTGCCCTATCAAGAGTTCGTCTAATATAAGAGGAAAGGAGGGGTAAGACAAGATAATTCAAATGGAAGAAGTGATTTACAGTAGAAGGGGTAGAGAGAGAAAAGGGGAGGGGAGGGGAGGGGAGGGGGGATAGTAGAGAATAATATAGACAGCAGAATACATCAGACACTAGAAAGGCAATATGTCAATCAATGGAAGGGTAACTGATGTGATGCAGCAATCTGTATACGGGATAAAATTGGGAGTTCATAACTCATTTGAATCAAACTGTGAAATATGATGTATGAGGAACTATGTAATGTTTTGAACGACCAACAATAAAAAAAAATAGATAAATAAAAAAGAGTTCATCTAATCCTCCCTTCTTTTATTAAAGGATAGCTTTTCAGAGGTACTCCCCTTCTGCAGTTTAAAATAGCTTGAAACATGGGGTGGCATATTCTGGTCTTCTACAGTCACATTTTGGGGGTGGTATGTCCTGAGCTCCAACACTCCTTTATAATTTAACCCTTTGGACTTTCTGATGGCTAAATGTCTGCCAGGGATCCGTTCTGGTTTTTGGTTTCTTTTTCCTCAGTTCTCATGCATATTGTCTAGTCTGTGTGTCTGCTTATCTTTGATTATGTCACAGACTTTATATTTGGACATTGTTTTAGAAGTCATTTGAGGTCTAAAACTGTTACCGGGGCTCAGGTCTGGATGCTCACCACTCAAAAGCCAATACTCAGGAGATAAGAGTTGACTGGAAGGAAATCAGTTTTATTCAAGGGCTGGCATCCTGGAAGATGGAGAGAGTGATGGTCTTCCAAGCTTCACCTTGGGGAACTTGAGTGCAAAGGAGAAGCAGGGCAAGAAGGTTCTGTGCTGAGTGGGGTCTTTCTCACCCAGGCCTGTGTCTTCTTTTGCCTTGTCTCTGGCAGGAACATCACAATGTACCTCAACATACTGAGGTTAGTTCCTATAGTTCTTTATCCAAACGTATTACTTTTCTTCAAGTTAAACCTCATGACAGAGTACATATTTGTGTTAGTTGATGGACAGAACTAAAGACTGAGGAGTGGTGGTGTTATACAATCTGATGTTATTTGAAGGTCACCAGATCTTCAGGGTTCCGGAAATCTAAATAAACATTATTGAGCAGGTAACATCTTACTTGTTTAGGTACAGCCTCTCTTCAGAATTCAGAATGCTAGGTACCTTGGCATAGGGAGGTAAAGTGACCCTGCAAAGGGCAAATAGAGGGCAAGGGCAACTTGAAAAGGAGCAGCCACTGTTAGAGTTTTCTAGCTCCAGATAGGATTTTGTTTTGCTTTTGTCTGAGGCTGGATTTCATAAGCAATCTAGGGCACTTTGACAGATTGAGGTTTCTGGACTACTCAGCTGAGAGGCAGCCAATGTGAGGCTGGCTGACTTCTGTTTTGTCCTTAATTGCAGCGCTTTGGTGAGGAGTTCAAGTCCAAGTACAGAGAGGCTTACCGCAGCCCACTGTTGCTCGGTATTGCTCAGCCTCTGAGCCACATGTTCCAGATGGAAAACTCACAGTGCAAAAGCAGCCCCAAAGACCAAGCGTGTGCCTCTGGGTTTACAGCCTTCTCATGATCTTGCCCCGGGATCTCTTCATTACACTGTTAGCTCTCTGATGCCTTCAAGATGATCTTCTTGTTTTATCCAGACTCTATAATTATCTTGAGAGTTGGTCTGAGTTTTCTACCATCAATGAAATCTTCCTCAAATTATAAAGTTGGGATCGTAATTGTACTTAACTTACACTATTATTGTCAGGGTCAAGTGAATGCTGAGAACTACCCGACACAGAGTAAGCATTTTGTAGATGTGAGCTGGTATTATTGTGTTCAAAATTATTTTCTTTCAGAACTCTGAGGGGATGTAACGTTCCAATACAGGGTGAGCATCCCTAATCTGAAATCTGAAACGCTTCTGGTTCCAATCATCTCAGAAAAGGAATATTCAACCTTCATCTATTTATGTTTATTTAAGAAGTTGGATGCCAGCCAGGCATGGAGGCACTGGCCTATAATCCCAGCTATTCAGAGGGCTGAGACAGGAGGATAACAAGTTCAAGGCCTACCTAGACAAGTTAGAAAGACCCTGTTTCAAAATAAAAAATAAAAGGGCTRGGAGGTGCAGCTCAGGACTTTCTTCACATGTGCAAAGCCTTGGGTTCAACTTCCTAGCACATTTTATGCAACCCTCAGTACTGCAAAAATAAAGAAATGAGTAAAAGATAAGTTGCATACCAGCCTTATGCTTGTGCCATTAGATTTTACTTTTCTCTTGGGACGTTTTTAGRATATTCTTATTCTGCAGCATCATGAGACTAAGTCAAAGTGTGAGTCCTTACCCTGGTACTTCGTGGGTCCTTAGATATGAAGATTCCCATCTTTAGTTCTGTGAACAGCCTCAATTTTTTCTCTTAGTTTATTTCTCCCTTCATTTGCTTTGCTCTCTTTTGAAATGCTTATTAGATGGGTRTTGGAACCTTGAAAATTCCCCCAAACAAACAAAAAGACACCAACTTGAAGAACTGTTCATAGTCATTTAAAGGGGCAGCAGCTTCCATACCCTCCATCTTGTCCACACACACATAGGAACTTGCCTCTAAACATTCTTGCCCAGCAGCTAAAATATGATTTCTTTGATTTATTCTGGGTAGTAACTGCTTCCTGAATTAACTTTCTCCCARCTATTACCACAGGTACACATCACCTTTTATACAAACAAAAAAGAAAAAAAAATCCCTTTGAAGCTAAGTTCCTTTTTCTCCCACAGTGGGTCCTGAAAACCATGGAGAAATTTTAATGAGAGATGCTGGAAAAAAAGATGAGACTCAGTTGGACCAGCAGATGCCCCAAGAACAACCTTCACCTGTCCATCCAAAGAACAATGATAAATTGTCTGTGCCACAGTTGGTTCTACGGCGAGGACTCCTGCTCGTGGGCGTCATTTTAATCTTGCTATTGGGGATTTTAGTGAGAGTATATGTCAGAATTCAGTGATGTGCCAAGAGAGAGATGGTCAGTCAGGTCAAGGGATACAGATGTTCCTCAACTTACAATGGGGCTACCTCCTGACAAACCCATTGTAAATTGAAACTGTCACAAGCTGGGGCTGGGGTTGCAGCTCAGTAATAGAACTCATGCTTAGCTTGAGGGTCTAGGTTCAATCCCCAACCCGATGTGTGTATAAGTTGAAAGTGCATTGAATCCACCTATCCTACCATTCAGTGTGAGTAACACAGCACACAGTGGCATGTGATGGTGGGGCTGTGGGAGCTGCAACTTGCTGCTACAGCCCGGCATCTCAGAGAGGATCATACTGCGTTATCTCGAACCTGGGAAAAGCTCCAAAGTACAGTTTCTACTGAATGTGTATCACTTTTGAAGCATCATAAATGGAACCAGTGTTAAGTCAGGGACTACCTGTACTTTTGAGCTTACATACAAATAATTCATAGGCTTAGCAGCAGCAGTTCATTTTCAGATCCTGTAATTTAGTTGTGACTGTGGATTTTAAGAATGGAGAATTCAAAGATATATTTTTCTAATGAAGCAGAGAGACTAAGAAGGTATACGGTTGATTTTGGTTCAAGGCGATGTCTGAAAGATGATGCTTGAGAAAAATTCACTGTCTTAACTAAGGACCACATGGTATACCATATTCACCTGACGCTTCCATGTTTCTTCTGCCCACTGTTTTCTAAGACACAACTCCATATAAAAAGTGCTTTAGGATTCTTACTGTGTGAATTATTTAATATATTTTACAGTACATCTTTCTTTGTGTCTTAGATTATTATTCAATGGCAGATGGCAAATTGTTAATCTTCAGTTGGGGGCCCAGATCTTGGGCACTGTGGGTGCATAATTGAGGCAAGTCTTTAGAGCTGTTAATTATAATTCCTAGGGCTAGGGTTGTGGCTCAGTGGTACAGCACTTGCCTCACATGTGTGAGGCCCTGGGTTCGAGTCTCAACACCCCACATATAAACAAATGAATAAAATAAGGTCCATCAACAACTAAATTTAAAAAAAAATTATAATTCCTAGTGGTGGTGGTGTCAAGAGGACAAAGTTTTAATAAAGGCCTTAGATTAAGTAGTAACCCTACTTCTTACAGCCTTCACAGTGTTAAGTACACATTGCTAATTCAGCAAACCTCTACATACTAAGTAAGGACAGTGCTCGAATGGATACATGACTAGGCTTGGCCTGTGCCCTGAAAGAACAGATAATGAACAAAATCAGAAAAGTTCCATACTGTTAATAAAAACCACCCAGCTGCTGATTTTTTTYCCCCCACTTTGCATTGCTGGGGATGAACCCAGGGTCTTGCACTTGCATGTGCTCTACCACATGGCTACACCCCCAGCCCTCCAACTTGCCTGCTTTGGTTGGAATTATCAAAAGGGATCTCTGCCTTCAGGACTTCATTCTTCCWGGGTCCCTAAATTGATCCTCAGTCTCCAGCCACCAAGGTGAAGAAGATGTGCAGTGTATGTGGCCTTCCAGGTGGAGCCTGGGGGCCTGAGGCATCCACAGGGCCCACCCTCCCCCAGCTCTTTATTAGGAAGCCCTCAACTCTCTCCTTGGGCCCCCCAACCTGATACCCCTGGAGCTCTAGAGGTGTCTCCCACCCCTGCCCTTTTCCTTGGCCCCAGAACAGGTTCCTCTAGCTGCAAGGTGCCATGGCTACACTGACTAGAAGCCACACTGGCCGCAGGTTCAGTACCTTGTCCCCGCAGAGCCGAGACACTGGGTGGAGGTGGATGAGGATGGGGGAATTCCTGAACATCCCTTCAGCTGCGGCCTGGAGAAAGGTGTCCCCCGAAAGTGTTCTGTGGGTGTGGAGGATGAGGGAATTACAAAGTCCACTCTCCCTCCACACACCTTTTGCATTCTGTCTTGACGCCTTATAGAAACTCATCATCCTTGAGCTGCCCTCCTGGGCAAGCACCCCCTCCCCCCAGGGTTCTGGGTGTTGACGGTTGGACTGGGCGCCCTGGGCGTGGTGGGGGGGGGGTTGGTTGCTGATCTCCGCTGCAGTGGGCCATCGGCCGGCTGGGCTGGGCTGGGCGGGGCGGGGCGGGGCAGGGCAGGGCAGGGCAGGGCCCTGCCGGGCGGTGTAGGTGTAGGGCCGGGCAACCTCGGCTTCGCGCGCTCGCATTCGGTGAGCGGGCTTGGAGCCCCATCCAGAGCCGGCATGGAGGTCCCCGCGGCCGCCACCGAGTCCCCCGCGGACCCAGCCCTCCCACCGCCCGGCGTCCTCTGGCGGCGCGGCTGCCTGCGGGGCTTGCGGGGCGCGTTGCCCTCGGACCTGCGGCGGGAGGCGGCAGAGCTGGCGGCGCTCGCTGGCCCCGTGGTGAGTGCGGCGGCCCCCCGCTGCGCCCGCCCCACTGCCCGCCGCAGCCGCAGTCGCTAGGCTTGGGCGCCCCTGGGGGCTGCTTTCGCGCGGTCCAGCGCGTTCCCACCTGGCTGCGCGAAGCCCGGGGACGGAGGGTGGGTGTAAAACTCCACTTTCCTTTCTGTTCCCCGGGCAGTTCCTTGCACAGTTGATGATCTTTCTCATTAGCATCGTCAGTTCCATATTCTGCGGACATCTGGGCAAAGTCGAGCTGGATGCTGTTACACTTGCTGTCTCGGTGGGTGTTTACGACTTTTTATTTGAGCTGATAACAGCCAAGTCTCAGCATTTTTATTTATTTATTCCGTTTTATTTATTTATTTATTTATTTATTGGTGGTGCGGGGGTTGCGCACACTGGGCTGATGCTCTTCCACGGAGCTACTACTCCCCCCCGCCCCCAGCCCCAGCACCAAGCTTCAGAATTTAAATTGTGTCATGTCCTCCGTAGTGACTTTTTTTTTTAGAGGATCTGGGTCTTGCTTACAGATACTGTTACCTGATCTTTAGATTTGAAGTATATCGTGTCAGCTATGTAGACAAAGCTTTCTGAGCAGATCTCTAATTATAGAGGCACCAGGTCTTGTGAGGAATGTTAACAAGTAGATAAATTGGGCATATCTACTAAAATGAAAAGAACTGCATTCTTTTTTTTTTTAATTTATGAAATCAAACCAAAGCTATTTTCACAGTTCATTGGATCACACCAGCTCACCCCTGGGAAATGTGTCCCCTCCTCCCTGGCTTGAAATTACACCTCTTTAGATGTCTTCCTGGGTCTGTTAGTGAGAGTGGAAAACTGCTTCTCTTGTATTTAATCCAGGTTTTCAAAGAAGGTGAAGACCCATCCTTCCTTTTTTTCCCCCCTTCTGTCCTCCCTAGGAGATGGGAATGCACAGTGAGATTGTGGAGGGTCATAGAAGTTTCTCATTCGGTCTCATCGGAGGAACCCTGGCTATGTGGAATCACATTTCATTTACGGGATTTTTTTTTTTACTGTATTTGGTGAACTGATCKGTTGTGCAAACATTTCTGCTTTCTTTGAAAGTTTAGATTGGCCCTTCAGAAAGTCAAGAAGGAAGATGGGTTTTTATATATGTCCCTTTGTCCTCTTCAGGAAAGATGAGCTTGGCCCCTGCATGGCACAGGGCAGCAGAGCCCTGGCCCACTCTGTGCTCCTGGTCACCCATGGGTTATGAATGTGGATTAATGGGGTGATGATCGGAGGCCAGGATTGAGGTCTGCTCTTTTCCTGTCTCTGCTTCCCAACCTGTACCCCCTCCAGAGCTCATTTCTGGGCAGTACATCCTACACTTTTCCCTGTTCATGATATCTCATGGCCATCAGTGATCTCAGCCCCTGAATGTTCTCTCTTCTCTCTGTTGGAAGTGTGACTTGACCTCCCTGCATCTATTTCCCTGTCTCCGGGACCTCCGGAGTCCTCTTTGGGTGCCCCTTTCTGCACATTTTCATCCCTCAGTGTGGACCACAGTAGGAACTTTCAACTTTACTTTTTCAGTCTCTTTTTAGCCCTTGGACTGTGTAGCCACCAAGTCTCCATGCCCATCCTCATGGAATTGTCCTTGCCAGGGTCCCTTCATCTTCTCTCATTCCTCTGGTTTCACCTGGCCCCCTGCCCTGCACACTTTGCCAAACAGGCAGCACTTGACCTCTCAACCTCCCATTTCACAACCCCCCCCACTCCTTTTTGTCACCCCTCCCCTTCAAGACTCACCTTTCATTGTGTTCTGGAACCTTCCTTTCTCCTCCAACCTCTTAAGCTTTATATATTACCACCCCATTAGGATAAACCTATCAAGATCCTCTTTTTCAATAAATACATCCCTGTCCATCCATCTTCTTCTGACCCAGCCTGCTCTCTGACCTTTATTACCTATGTTCTTTGCCAGAAAGCTGACACTCTGTCTTCATTTCCTTCTTTCCCATTACAGTCCAGCCTCTGTTCTCCCACTTCTCCATTTAACTTGCTCTGACAGTTGTCAGTGACTCCTTCCCACCCCTTTGTCAGGACAGGGGACTCACCTTGTACTCTTCTCCCCTAGCCCCCCAGGAACCTGCCATCTGTATTTCATCCTGGTCCGCCTTCGCACATCTGTGACCTCTCTGATAGTTGCACTCTACTTCCTCTCCTCTCCCCTCTTCCTTCCTTTTTCAATGCCCCCTGTTTATTGGTGTCTCCCAAATTGGTACCTCCACCCTTGACTTGGGCTTCCAGCACAGCACTGCTTGCAGGATGGATTAACTGGAAGACACAGGGATTTCTGGAACACAAGAGAGTTTGAAGCTACTCCCTGGAGTTGCTAAGTACTGCCTTTCTTATTTTATTTTTTTATTGGTTGTTCAAAACATTACAATGCTCTTGACATATCATATTTCATACATTTGATTCAAGTGGGTTATGAACTCCCATTTTTACCCCGTATACAGATTGCAGATTCACATTGGTTACACATCCACGTTTATACATACGAGGGATAGGAAAGGCAGCAAAATACAACAGACACTAGTATGGAAGTATGCCTTTCTTATTTTTTAAAAAATTGTTTGTGGTCGTGGGGATGGAACTCAGGACCTCACACATGCTATGCAAATTCTCCCCCACTGAACTGCACCCCCTACACCCCCAGCACCCCTCTTTTATTTTTTATACCCTCAATTTGCATTACCTAGCAGGCCCTCCTAACTTTATTTCCATCACTCCTTAGAATTCCTGTCTTCCTTCTGTTTTACACTCCCCTCTTCTGGACCCTGCTCCATCCTTCCTACTCCCCTCCATCTGCCAGACTTTTGCTGACCTCCCAAGACTAGAGACCCTCTCTCATGTTCCCATACTCTGTGGCTGCTGGGTCTTGGTCCTGGATGCACTGTGCTGACTGTCTCTGACTCTGGTCTCTTTCTTGCTGATCCATCTGAGAACTTACATTCATTTTTGCTCAGCTTGGTTCCTCATACAGATTTGGTTTAACCAAATATTTCAGAGAAACACATAGCTCAGGTGTCCTGCCCTGAGAATTACTCTCATCTGGGCATCTCCTGCTTTGTCTTTTTTTCTTCTCACCTTCAATCCCATCCCTTTATGATTTCCATCTGTAACATGGTGAGGATTTAAAGSATTATTGTATATTTATATAGAGTTCTATGACTCCTGTTCTTTCATTTGTCTT